TGTGATCCACCCGCCTCGGCCTCCCAAAGTGCTGGGATTACAGGCTTGAGCCACTGTGCCCGGCAATATCTCAGTTTTTTAAAAAGAGTGAATGAATGCCCACACTATTTTTCTCTCTCATCTAAAGTTCAAAAGATTGCCCATGAACTAATGTCTAAGCTGATTTAATTTTCCCCATCCTTGGGCATATTATCAGTTGCCCCAACCTCTGTTCAACTATTATGTCCTCAAAGAATAAAAATTTATGTTAATATTATAAAAGAAATCAATCTTCTGTAAAAGCAAATTAAAAATCACTTTAGATTATTCCACTGTGGCTGTTTGCAAGACTGTTTACATTAAAAAGAGTCAGTAATGGAAAAATGATTGTAATTAAATATTCTCATTTTTCTCTTCCCTTCCTTCTTCCATCTTATTACTAAATAACAGAATTAAGTGTTGTTTGGGGTTAATAGCAAATGATGTAATCATCAAATTCAATTCCATGAACAAATATTTACTGATCACCACAATGTTACAGTGGGAAACAAGCTCTCTTCAATAAGAAACAGATAACATATCTTAAAGACAAGTCACAAAACTATCCCTTATATCACTTTCTTTGGAATATTACATAATCAGTCTGGGGACTATAGAGGTGATAAAAGCAGCTCGTTAACAAGCTGTTAAGTCATACAATAAATATTCATTAAATGCTTATTCAATAAATAGTATTACACAAGGAAAGGAGCATCAGCTTTGCAATCAAGTCTATCTGGGCTGGAATTCAGATCTTCATTTTTTAAATTGTGTGCTTTGGGAAAATTAGTTAACATTCATAACTCTTATTCTCTATTGTAAAACAGGAATAAAACTACCTGAGGCAGGCATGATGGCACACACCTGTTGTCCTAGCTACTCAGAAACTGAGGCAGGAGGATTGCTTGATCCCAGGGGGTTGAGGATGCAATGAACTATAATCATACCCCTGCACTCTAGTCTGTATGACAGTGAGACTCTGTCTCTATAAAACAAACAAACCAAACTCCCTACCTAGGATGGTACTGTGAGGAATAAATGAAATAATAGGAACACACATAGCAAGCCTCTGGTAAATGAAAACTATTTTTGTTTTTTGTTTTGTTTTTGTTTTGAGACAGTCTCACTCTGTTGCCCAAGCTGGAGTGCACTGGTGTGATCTCAGCTCACTGCAACCTCCACCTCCCAGGCTCAAGCAATTCTCCTGCCTCAGCCTCTCAAGTAGCTGGGATTACAGGCATGTGCCACCACAACCAGCTAATTTTTGTATTTTTAGCAGAGACAGGGTTTCACTGTGTTGGCCAGGCTGGCCTCAAACTCCTGATCTCAAGTGATCCACCCACCTCGGCCTCCCTAAGTGCTGGGATTACAGGTGTGAGCCACTGTACCCAGCCAAAATCTATTTTTAAGATTGTAACTATGTTCAAGGCAGAGAAGAGCTAGGGGAAGAGAGTGAGTTAAAATGAATAAAACATTTTCAACTGGAGGTTCAATAAGGACTCAGAAAGATGGAGCTGAATGTTGAAGAATAAGTAATTTGGAGGCAAATAAAAGTGGGAAGATAAGGAAACTCTGGGTGGAAGGAAGATAATGCAGAAAGGCATTGAGACTTAGAAGCATACAGTGTGGAGGGGCCTCAATTACTGTTTATTGAGTTGAGCTGGGTTGATTACACATAATATTGAACGTGCCAGTAAAAAACACAAGTTTTTGAGCTGACAGTTCTTCCCTTTCTGAAATCTAAAAAAGAAAATTTTAAACAAGAGTATTTCTACTGTAAATTTATTAGCACATAAAATTTTTTCTTTGTTTCTCAGTCACTATTAATTACAAAACATAAATGTTTCAGACTTTTAGTCTAAATGGAATGTGTGTTTAAACACCTAAAAATCCAGTTTACATTGTACTGAAGATATAACGTATTGTAAAATATGTCAAATTATCTCCTCCTAAGTGTTAATAGAAGAAAAAGATGTAAGAGTAAATGAATGTAATACAGTGACATATTTACACACCTTTTACCAACAAAACCTTTCACACCTTCCAAAATGATAAGCTTTTAGTACAAGCTGATTAAGAAAATTCACAGTAAGTGGCCAGGTGTGGTGACTCATGCCTGCAATCCCAGCACTTGGGGAGGCTGAGGTGGGCAGATCACGAGGTCAGGAGTTCGAGACCAGCCTGGCCAACATAGTGAAACCCTGTCTCTACTTAAAAAAAAAAAGAAAGAAAGAAAATTCATAATAAGCAAAAGAAGTGTCACAAACTCAGTAATATGTACATCATTTTACTGAAGTATAATTTATAACCAGTAAGATTAACCATTGAAAAATTCATAGTAGCCGGGCGCGGTGGCTCAAGCCTGTAATCCCAGCACTTTGGGAGGCCGAGGCGGGTGGATCACGAGGTCGAGAGATCGAGACCATTCTGGTCAACATGGTGAAACCCCGTCTCTACTAAAAATACAAAAAACTAGCTGGGCGTGGTGGCGCGTGCCTGTAATTCCAGCTACTTAGGAGGCTGAGGCAGGAGAATTGCCTGAGCCCAGGAGGCGGAGGTTGCGGTGAGCCGAGATCGCGCCATTGCACTCCAGCCTGGGCAACAAGAGCGAAACTCCGTCTCAAAAAAAAAAAAAAAAAAAAAAACAAAAATTCATAGTTGTATAGATACTACCCTAATTAAGATATAGAATATTTCCATCCAAATGGAAAAAAGTTCCTTCTTGTCATTTGTTGTCAAACTCTGCTCTGAGGCAACCACTAACCTCTTCTCCATATCTATAGTTTTGCCCTTTCCAAAATGTCATATAAATGGAACCATACAGTATGTAGCCTTTAAAATTTAACTTCTTTCACTACATATAATGCAATTGAGACTCATCTGTGGTGCTGTGTGTGTATCAGTAGTTCACGTCTTTTCATTGCTGAGAACTATTTCACTGTATGGATGTACTACATAGATTGTTTATTCATTTATTTGTTGAATGACATTTTGGTTGATTCCAGTTTTGGCTAATTATAAATGAAACTGCCAAAAAATTTTTGAGTACAGGTTTTGTGTGAAAGTAAGTCTTCATTTCTCTTGAATAAATATATAGAAAATATTCTGCTGAGTCATATGATCAATTTGTGTTTAATTTTATAAGAAACTATCAAATGGTTTTCCAAGGTTTATGTTATGTTCTGCATTCCCACCAGCAATGTATCAGCATTAGAATTGATCTACATCCTCACCAATACATGGTAGTATCAGTTTCCTTGATCAATTCAGTGGTATCTAATTTTTAATTTGTATCTTTCCAATTACTAATAATGTTGAACAATTTTCCATGTGCTTCTTTGCCATCTAAATATCTTTTTCTGGTGAAGTATCTGTTCAAATCGTTTATCTATTTTAAAAATTGGGTTTGTTTTTCTACTGTTGAGTTTTGTAAGGTCTAAAAATATATTCTGGACATAACCATATCAGAAAGCAAATTTGCAAACATTTTCTTCCAGTCTGTGGTTTGCCCATTTTCATTCTCTTAACGCTGTCTTTTGAAGAACAGAAATTTTTATTTTGATCAAGTCCAATTATCAATAGTTTCTGCAATATCTTAGAAATGTTCGCCCAACCAAAGGTCACAATGATTTTCTCCTATATTGCCTTCCAGAAGTTTTAGGCTTTACATTTAGATCTATGATCAATTTTTGAGCTCATTTTTGTATATGTTTTGTGAAATATAGATTGACATTCATTTTTTTGTATAGAGATAAGCTCTGTCCAAACATCATTTATTGAAAAGATTATCCTTTATCCATTGAATTGTCTTTCCCATTTGTAAAAATCAATTTATCAACTAATCATAAATGTGTGGACTTTTTTTGAATTCTCTATTCTATCCCATTGATATTTATGTCAATACCCACTGTCTTGATTACTGTAGCTTTATAATAAGTATTAGAGTTATACAGTATAATCTTCCAACTTTATTTTTCTTTTTATAAGTTATTTTGGTTATTCTAGGTCCTCTGCATTTTCTTATAGGTTTTAGATTCAGCTTGTCAACTTCTACCTAAAACTCCCTGCTGGAATTTGTTTGAGATTGCACTGAATCTGTAGATCAATTTGGAAAAAACTGATTTTTTTTTTTTTTTTTTTTTTTTTTTTTAAATGACGGAGTTTCACCATGTTGGTCAGGCTGGTCTTGAACTCCCGACCTCAAGTGATCCACCCTCCTTGGCCTCCAAAGTGCTTGGATTACAGGCGTGAGCCACCACACCTGGCCGAGAAAACTGAAATTTTAAATTCTGCCTTGTCCCTTTGGCAAGTTTTGTGTAGGACTGTTTCCAATCACTCTCCCAATAAAAAGAAACTTCTTATAGCGCTGATAAAAGATTGCGGGACCAAGACTGTTTTCTTCTTCTCCCCCAGGAGTGGATTCTTTTTTTTTTTTCTTTACCCTTTCCCCAGCCACAATAGGTTTTCACCTATACCCTAGAAATAACAAATAGGCTGCCCCTTCCTCAGTGGCTTAAGGCTTTTGTTCTTAACAGAAGGGTCAAAATGGCACATTCAGGCCTGCACCAGTGAAGGAGAACCTCTGCCTTACCGCTAAATTTTTCTTTGGAGTCTGTGCAGAAGAAGCCTAGAAGTGCGTGTGAACTCCACTTGCATACGTGACTACCAATGGTTCTACACTTGGCCTTTAGCAACCCACCTAAAAAGTTTAGCCAAATACTTCTGATTTGCTTGATTGGTGCCTGGCGTTTCTTCCTGTGACTGTGCTCTGTCACAAGTGAGACAGTGCTGTGTCTCATCTCTTTTTGGAGGAGTCTGCATTTCCTTGGACTTTAGGCTACTTAGTTGCTCTGCATCAGCAGCTCTCTGATGAGTTCAAGAAATGTTATGATTTTGTAATTTATCTGACATTTTATTATAGTTAGGGTGAAAGTAACATTCTTTCCAATTTCCTCATCCTAGGTGGAAACAAAATTCCCAAATTTAGCAACATTTCAAAGTGAATTTATTTTTTGTTAATCACTAATAGCATGGATTTGTGGAAAGCACATTCAGACAATGCTTATTACACATTTGGACTCACAGATTTCTGACAGACTTATTAGTCTGTGCTTCAACCCCTCCCTATCAGAGATTCACACACATGGTTTTGACATCCCTACCACACCTTAAGATTTTTTAAAAAGTCAACTTAAAACCCTTTTAACTATGGTTTTGAAATGCCTAAGGTCAATTTTAACAGCTATTGTAATTTAGCTAAATTTCAAACACAAAGGCAAAAAAAGCACCATTTTATTAAAGAAGAAAAATTATTTGCATACGTGGTCAGAAACATCTTCTAAGACTATATAAGCTTTGAATTTCCTAATGCTCACATATTTAAAGTCACTGTCACCATTATATGAGATATAAAAGGTCCTAAATTGGCTAGAAATTTAACTTGGGACATAATGCCAGAAGGAAATATTTGTGATTCTGTATTTCCCACAAAAATACAGAATTATTTGACAAATAACAGCAATTACACCTATTCCTTTTAGCACTTTGATACTTATTTTCTGAGTAACATGTATAATCTACAAATAAGAAAACTGAAAACTGCTGAGATTTTTCAAGCAAATTTGACAATCTAGTCTTTCATAGCATCTTATCATAAAACATATGACTTATTTTTTCCCCATTGACTGATAGTAGCAAATAGTATGCTTGACTTTGTAATGATAATTTATTATGACGGTCTTCAAATTTAAAGGGAAAAAAGAAGGAAAATAATCTTTAAACTTTACTATTTTAATACATTACTTTATAGAATTTAGTTGTTCCTGGGCTTATCACAAATAAATTGACTTAAAACTAGCCTCTCTTTTGTAATGATGAAAGTTAACTTGAATAGCAAAAGATGAGTAAAAATTAATTTGCACAGCAAAGGGGGGAAAATAGAAATGATCCATTCAAATACTGTTTTAAAGAGTGCTTTCACTATAAAACTGTTAGATACACTTACCAGTACACAGAATCAGATAAGTGGTATCATGTGGTCAAAGACAGACTCAATAAATTCAATACCAAATGAAAATATTTTACTCTTAAAGACTCCAAAGAGATCACTTGTCAGAACAATGAATTCCTCTCTTTTAATAATCAAGGGAGAAAAAAACTAAGTGTTTTACTAAGTTCCTAGCAATACCGTGCTGGAATCTGTGTCCTACCATTTTTTAATGGATGATCATTTAAATAGCTGCTCTCTTTCTTTAAACACATATATTAAACTGCTACATATTTCAAAGTGAAATACATGACACTTCCCCCTGAAATAGCCAAAAATTGGCATTCTAGTATTCTTGGAAGCATTTATCTGCTAGAAAAGATGTGGCTTTGATTCTCTGGTGGTAAGGTGAATTTCCTTCATTATCTTCAAGGTCTCTATGTATGATAGGATTGAATTCCTTCAAGGTCACCCAAAGTCCTGAGAGCTCCAGAGAATTATTTTGGCACTCTGACTTCTATTTTCTGTAACATTTGGCAATATCTCAGTTTCATCACAGAAAAAAAATAAAACCCACAAAATCTATGGGAAAAATGTCATAACTGACTATATTTGCAAAGGCAATCCATATTCATTCAAGAAATTTTCAGTATGAAGACGTGTATCAATTATAGAGTGAAACACTTGGCCTCTATTTAAAATGCTCTCTTTATAGCCCACTGACATTTATTTGTCTTAGTCAAGGCTAGTATAGGTCTGCTCTCCTAATTTTTTATTAGATGTAAAATTAAACGCAAACATTTCAAATATATCAAATCCAACTGTTGTAAACTGTTTCCACATAAAACTTCCTTCCACCAGCTAACATCTTACCAGAGATATTTTCCTATCAGCTGAAAAAAAAAATAATTATTTCATTAGATACAACATTCCCAAGAATATAAAATTTATTTATAATGTCAAAAATGATTATTTTTTTTAAAAAACACTAAATTTAAAAAACTATCATTGACTGTGAAGGATGGTTCATGAATGAGCACTCAGTAGAAGAACATGAAGGAAGTCCTGAAATTATCTTAGAAACATTTATCTGCTCATATCTATATACCACTGTGATTGATTTTCAAATCATCATGAAAGGAGTTTCTAGGCAATTTCCCATAGTACATTAATATTAACATACTATGGTGATTTTTTATTAAAAAATGGTCAAGACAAAGTTCTGAGAAGTTGGAGCAAGAGAGGAACAAAAAACAAATGGAAGAGTGAAAACCTAAACCCTATGTAGCATAACCTTGCTATCTTGAGTACTTCCTCATTTACGTCCTTCTCAAAACACCAAATGCACAGTTACATTTGCAATTATACTGACACCCAATAATACGTATTTGCTCAACTAAATATTATTTGAAAATTAAATAAAGATCACAGTTATAAAAGCAAAAAAGAAAATTCCACTTCTCAAAATAGTCCTAATACTTCTTCCAGGATTGTAGACAGAAAGTTTTTAAACAGAAGAGATCTTAGTTTCTACTGCCAAATTTCAGATTTTAGGTTATATAAAATGTAATGACTAAGAAGCAAGATGGCAAACAAAGCCATATTTATGTTAGAAACATAAAGACAATATCAAAATGCTTGAATGCTGACTGTGGAATTAAAGGTAACCACACAAGTTTGATAAAGAACAGTTAAGTTCATCCATTCCATAGTACGTAACATGAAAGGCAATTGTTTTTTAAGTTATACTTCGTCAATATCACCATGCACTAAATAAGGTGCTTTACAGAGCATATTAACAGCCATAATTCCTGTCTTTAACATATTATAATTTTAGACAGACTTATATACAGATAAAAAGACCTTGGTATTGAATTGAACAAGAGCTAAAAGGTTAAAGGAAAGATACCAGCTAAGAGTTTTAAAAATCCACTAGAAATAGTGTTTACTGGTAAAAAGAACAAATTTATAGTCAAATACAATACTGATTCTTCATCTAAATGAACTAAATGAGAGAAAACAAAAACCTAGAGAGCAGTAGGATATATACAAAAGTAAAGAATTCTCATATTTGTTCAATATCCAGACAAATATCAAACTATTATATTATTACATAAAAAACAAGTCTTACCTTGTTGCTGTAAAGGTGCAATATCACATTTATTTCTAATGCGTAGGTAACTTTGTTCTGGTTTGTGTTCAGCTTGCTTAACATTTTGATTTCGCTTTTGTGGATACTAAATAATTTGAGATATGAGGTCATAATATTATTTTTTAATTACTTAATCTGAGAAGCCAAAATATGCAGGTGTTTATTATATAAAATTTTAATAATATGCTTGCTTTCTAGTTGCTTTTTATTGCCATTTATTTATTAGCACTTCTACCAATAAATAGGTGATAAGATATTACAAAAGAAAAGACATTGCAAAAAAAAAAAAATTTGAAAAGACTTGGATCATATATACGGATTTCAAATATTCAAGTCAATTTGGTCTATTTTTATTAGAGAATTCAGAGCTACTTATAAATCAAACTACTTTATATATATATATATAATGGATTTAGATAGGATAAGCACTTAATTTGGCAGCAAATTCTTCCATATAACCATTTTTTGCATAAAATGAAAATCTGCATAATGCACTGCAATTTTTGAAGAGCTTTTACATATAGTAACATCATTTAATTCTCAGAAGTGTGAGTAGGTATTATCTTCCATTTGCCATTCAAGAAACATATGCTTCATCATAAGCCCTATCATCTCTCTCTCTTACCTGTAACATAATCAAATTTGAAATCTACAGTAGTCACAAATCTCATAATCATACAGCACAAAGTGTGTGGTTTTTTTTCTTTCTTCTCTTTCTTATTTTATGAGCTTACTTATGAATAAGCCCCTGAAAACAGCTATAAGATAGCTGTTTTCTTGTTTCTATTTATTTTTGCCCTTTTCCCGACTGTAAAGATACACTTTAACAGGAGCTTAAAAAGAAATCTCTGGACCCTTGTCAATAAATACAACCAGAGAAGAATCTGAAACATCTGTCCACATGGCCACTGCAGCTTTGGCAGGCATCCTCTTTATCTAGGGGTAAAAATGAGTAGCTTTAAGCTGCAGTAATAATAACTAGCTTTCGCTCTGGTCTTTCAAGTTTAGAGCTGTTAGTCATGTATGTTTCTGCCTTGAAGGAAATATTATCTTAGTGTTTATTTCTAAGATGGGTACTAGGACTATCTCTGGCTCTGGCTGCTGACGCTTTGAACCTCTCAATTGGTTTCCTTACTTACTCACAGTGAATAAGAGCTGTGAACACAGGAGCTAAACTGCCTGTGTTCAAATCTGGCTAAGGCATTTTCTAGCTTTGACCTTAGGCAAGTTATTTAACTCCTCAGTATCTCAATTTCCTGATTCATGAAATAAGGATAATAACAACAACTACCTCATTAGGCTGTTATAAGGATTAAATGAGTTAAAATACATAAAAAACTTAGAACAGCATCTAGCACTATAAATAAGTGTGTGCTATTATATTACTAACCATACGTCCCTGTTAGCTAAAGAAATCTAACAAAGAAATTTTTTTAGGCCCATTTTTCTGGTAACACTTTATAGTTTTATTCTAAAAACAAGCCACCAATTAAAAGGAAGCAATCATCTTTTTATTTTTAAACAGTTTTATTAAGGTATAAGTAATAGACTATAAACTGCACATATTTAAAGTGTCCAATTTGCTATTTTGACCTACGTATAAACCCATGAAACCATCACCACAATCAAGATAATACAATAAACACATCCATCAATCTCAAAAGTTTTCTCACACCCTTTTATCTTCTCCCTCTTGCCCGTCCCACCTCTGTCTCTTACTTCCTTGAACAAGAACTGAAATGCTTTCTATTACTAGAAATGAGTTTGCATTTTCTAGAATTTTATATAAGTAAAATAATGAGTTTTTTTTTTTCTGGTATGGCTTCTTTACTCAACATAACTTTTGTAAGAACCACCCATGTTATTGTTTGTATTAATAGTTCATGTTTTTGGTTGCTAAATATTCCACTGTACAGGATACACCACAATTTGTCCATTCACCAGTTGATGGACATTTGTGTTGTTTCCAGTTTTGGGTTACCACAAATATAAAGTTGTGTGAAGATTCATGTACAAATCTTTGTGCAAACATATGTTCTAGTTTCTCTTGGGAAACTAGGAGTGAAATGCATGGTTCATTTGGTGGGTGTATATTTTTAAAGAAATGGCCAAGCTCTTTTCCATAGTGGTTGGATCATTCTGCATTCCCAATCAGCAAAGTATGAAAGTTCAGTTGCTCTACATCCTTGCTGACACTTGGCATGGCAGTCTTTTAGATTTTAGATATTCTAATGGCTGTGTAGTGGTACATCATTGCGGTTTTATTTTGCATTTTCCTAATGACTAACTCTGTTGAGAATCTTTTTATGTGCTGATTTGCCATTCATATATCTTCTCTGGGTAAAGTACTTGTCCAAATCTATCGTGTATTTTTAACTGGATTGTTTGTTTTATTAATATTGAGTTATGTGAGCTCTTTATATATTTTGAATACAAGTCTTTGATCAGAAAAGTAATCTCTAAATATTTTCTCCCAGTCAGTGACTTGCCTTTTAATTCTCTTAACAGTATGTTTTGAGGAACAGAAGTTCTTATTTTTGATAAGACCAATTTAAAAAGTTATTTTTCATAGATAGTACTTTCGGTATCATATTCTAGAAATGTTTGCCTAATCATGGCCACAAAAAATTTTTTATACAGAAGTTATTAACAAATACTTTTTTATTATTAACTAGTTTTTCCTGATCATTGCTTGGTTACAGGTTAGTAATACTGAACCCTACGTAATCATGTGTTCCATAAACAATCTTTATCTTACATATTTTTTTTGGTTTCATCCTTAACACATGTACTGCTACACAATACCATGAATAAATACTTATTTATAAATGAGTTCAAAATGAGTAATGAATTGTCAATACACAAATAAAAAACTATTTAATAATGAACATTTTTTAGATAAACAGCTTGGTGAGCAATTAACCTATTTTTTCAGTACACAAGATTGCATGGGCCATTGGCTTCACTCAGTATAAAATTTCTTATGCAATACATTTCTTACGAAACACCTTTTACAAATTTCAATGTAATAAACATTTACTGAACACCTACTATGTGCAACGTACTGAGCTAGGTATTGCATGCGGATACTGAGATATAAGTAAAATAGCAACCTTACTTTTACATGTATTATTTGTATGTTTTATTTATTTATTCATTTTTTTGAGACAAAAGTCTCACTATGTCACCCAGTTGGAGTGCAGTGGCATAATCTGGGCTCACGGCAACCTCTGCCCCCTGGGCACAAGCAATCTGCCCACCAGCCTGCCAAGTAGCTAGGACTACAGGAGACTGGCTAATTTTTGTATTTTTTATAGAGACAGGATTTCGCTACATTGCCCAGGCTGGTCTCAAATGCCTGGACTCAAGCAATCCGCTGCCTCAGCCTCCCAGAGTGCTGGGATTACAGGTGTGAGCCACTGCACCTGGCCATTACTGTTATTTTTTAATTTAAAGATGAGGGAATTAAGGCTTAAAAGAGGCTAAGTAGGGGCCGGGCGCGGTGGCTCAAGCCTGTAATCCCAGCACTTTGGGAGGCCAGGGCGGGTGGATCACGAGGTCAAGAGATTGAGACCATCCTGGTCAACATGGTGAAACCCCGTCTCTACTAAAAATACAAAAAATTAGCTGGGCATGGTGGTGCGTGCCTGTAATCCCAGCTACTCGGGAGGCTGAGGCAGGAGAATTGCCTGAATCCAGGAGGCGGAGGTTGCGGTGAGCCGAGATCGCGCCATTGCACTCCAGCCTGGGTAACAAGAGTGAAACTCCGCCTCAAAAAAAAAAAAAAAAAAAAAAAAAAAAAAAAAAAAAAGAGGCTAAGTAATGTATTCAAGGGCACAGCTTGGGTGAGCTAAAATTTATATTCAGGCTTGAGTTAGGAAATAAAGGAGGCATGATTTGAAGCTATCTGACTCCAGAGGCTTGGCTCTTGATGGGCCAAAACATGCTAAGGCAATATTGTTTCAATTCTCATTTTAAGTAAAATACATGTGCTATTAGTTTGGTACCTGAGAAAAATCTTCAGCGGCTACTGGTAAATTAACATCATTTTCTCGTGCTGTCAGAAGTGTTGTGGGAAGAACATGGTTAGAATTTGGCTCCAACTCCAATTCTCCCAAACTCATTGGACCATGACTAGCACAGGAATCTTCATAAATACCACCTGTTATCAAAATGTAAACAAAAAGTTAAAATAAATTGTTAAATTTATCTTCAAAAATGAACAAGTACTTGACTAAAACTACCAATATTTCTCACCTGCTGAATTAGAAAAAGCAGTGCACTTCAAACAAAAACACCTGGACAAAGCCTTCATTGCCATTAAAACCAAAACTCAGAATGCAAAACGTACCTATGTTCAAACAAATCCATGGAATATTCTATGTGAAGGTTCCAATCAACAAGTTACCCATGCAGTCCATCTGCAGCTTTCTTCCCACATACAAACTCTTAATACTCCTGCTTACCTTTCCTATCTCTAAGAGTCAATAGAATACTTTCTATCTAAAATGTACTTTTTTTTTTTTAGGGGGATGTAGTCTCGCTCTGTCTCCAGGCTGGAGGTCAGTGGCGCAATCTCGGCTTACCGCAATCTCCACCTCCCAGGTTTAAGCGATTCTCCTGCCTCAGCCTCCTGAGTAGCTGGGACTACAGGCGCGTGCCACCACGCCCAGTTAAGTTTTGTATTTTTAGTAGAGACGGGGTTTCACCAAGTTTGTCAGGATGGTCTTGATCTCTTGACCTTGTGATCCACCTGCATTGGCCTCCCAAAGTGCTGGATTACAGGTGTGAACCACAGTGCCTGGGCCATTAAAATATAATCTTATAGCAAAGGGCAATTTCCTGCCTGAAAAATGTTGATATTGCCTAGCTACATTCGGTAGACTTTTTTCTTCAAGTGATCAAGCTCTTCTTTTTCTTATCTAAATGGCACCTCTGACCAGATGCATTGCTCATGCCTGTAATCCAGCACTTTGCGAGGCCAAGGTGGGTGGATTGCCTGAGGTCAGGAGTTCAAGACGAGCCTGGCCAACATGGTAAAACCTACCTCTATTAAAAATACAAAAATTAGCTGGGTGTGGTGGCATGTGCCTGTAATCCCAGCTACTCAGGAGGCTGAGGCAGGAGAATCGCTTGAATTCTGGAGATGGAAGTTGCACTGAGCTAAGATCACATCACTGCACTCCAATCTGGGTGACAAAGTAACATCCTGTCTCTAAATAAATAAATACATAAATAAATGGCACCTCAATCAAATCACTAAAAAGAAAGCAGGAGCAGAGATATCTGTGTATTTAATAATAACATCACTGTATCTCTGTATTGCCTGTATCTTTTGTCTTGCCTGTATAATGCAAGTTAGACCTTTAAAAGAGGGATATTTAAAATATTATTTCACTCAAGTCAGATTCAGTTTAATTAATTATAACTAGAAATTCCTAATTTTACTTTCCTACAATATTTTATTGTAGGAAAATGATGTTAATTTACCAGTAGCCACTGAAGATTTTTCTCAGGTACCAAATTTACTTTCCTACAATATTTTATTGTAGTGGAAAGCAAGCATGGCAGACTTTCAGAGAAGACTAAATTCGCCTAAAATCGCCAGTCCAGCAAGAGTTTTTGGTCTGGTTTATCTAATGGATTTTTTTTCATTTGTATGAAAGTCAAAGGAATCACAAATTCAGTATGTATAAACAACGTTCTTCTTCCTAATTCTGTCCTTCCTCCATATTTTCTCTCTCTCTCAGTGACTGAGATGACCATCTATCCAATAATTCTAGCCAGAAACTTACAGCTTTCTCACTCTCCCCTTCTTTTGTACTGCTCACATTCAAATGAATTCCTGTCCATTTCTGTCTCTCAGTGACTGAGATGACCATTATCCAGTAATTCTAGCCAGAAACTTAGGGATTTCTTAGACTTTCCCTTTCTTTTGTACTGCTCACATTCAAATGAATTCCTGTCCATTTCCTGAATTCTCTCTCAAATCTCCCTTTTTATATATCCTCACTACTGAATAATGTCTCACCAGGCCAACTTTAATGGTTGTTTAATCAGGCTCCTTGCATCCTGTCTTAACTCTTCCAATCTATCCATCACATAGCACTTCAGATAATCTTGCTAAATGAAAGTAAATATGATCATATCACTCATTTAATTATAATTTTCAACAGACTGACGAATATCACACAACATTCAGAATTGACAGAAACTTAAGACTGAATTTTTCATGGGAATAAGTATAAAGCAAGATTGTTATTATTTCCTATTTTGTGCACAAAAAAACTCCCTGATAGATCATCCAGGGCTTTTCATGACCTGGTTTCTGCTCCCTGCTGCAATTTCATTACATCCTAAGCTCTAATTCTTTGACAAAAGCACCACATTTCCGTGACTAAGGCTTGCCTTTTTTTTTTTTCCCCTTTTGTTTCTTGTCTCATTGCCGATTCTTCCTGAAAGGTCCTTTCTCACTCACCGCATGGCAAGCATTTATTCATCTTTGAGGAGTCACTTCAAGCAAGACTTCCCTCATCTATGAAGTCGTTTCCTAAATCCCAACTTCAACCTCAGTTGATCTGTATATCTCCATCCTATATGGGCTTCCTGACAATAACCACAGTACTTACTGCATGTTTTTGTTTTCTTATCTACTATGTCTACTAGAGAAAAAAAAAAATCACTGTAAACAGGGCCTTACCAAGTTTCATATTCCTAGCACCTAGCACATGCTCAGTGTATAGCAGGCACTCAAAAATGTCTTCTTAGTAAGTAAATGAAGAAACTGGAATACTCTTATCATAATTTACCATCTGGCTAATTCCCTTAAGATTTAATTTCACATTGGCTCTTGCAGAAAACCTTTTCTAAGCCCTCACAAATGAGCTGAGTTCCTCCTCTGCACTCCCACAGCCGTCTGTGTTGTACTAGTCACACAATATTATAATTGTTATTTATTTCTCCCCCACTACTTTGTAAACATCTTGAGAGCAAATATCTATCATCTTTGAATCTCGAGTGCTAAATGCAGTACTTACACAGTTCTAGGTATACAGTGGGTATTCAATATAGGTTTTTTGAGTAAATGAAAACCTGTAATTGGTAGTATATCCCAGAGTCCACATATAATTCACTCAAATTATAGCTTACATTTCAGAGTTCCCAAGACAACTCCTCAAAGCCAATTTTGTCTTTAGGTTTCTAAACAAAACCTGAGAGCCTTAGGAATGGAGACAGTGATAGAGGACTACAGGTTGCAAATAGGATATTTCCTGAAAATTAGCAGGGGTGAGGAGGGGCAAAGCAAGAACAGATGAGCCTCTGTAAGCAAAGTTATTAAACATCAAGATGAAAAGCAATACCAATAACTAGCATATATAGTTGATTCTCATCTATGGACCACAATTATATTTTGTGATCACCAGGAGGAAATCTTGAAACAAGAGGAAGAAATCAATTTTCTATAGGCAAAGTCCTTTTAGTCAACTGTTGATGATTTCTGATTCTATTAAGTACATATAAGATAGTACGTTCACACAGTCCAAGCATTATTAAAGAGAACAACACCATGTACCAAGCACTGTGCTAACTACTTTACATGCACTGTCAAATATGGTACCTAATAACTGTAATAAGGTGGACACTATTACCTCCAAGACAGCCTTTAACGATCTCTGCCTCCTGGTATTCACACCTTTTTAAAGTCACCTCTTAAGTTGTTCCATAATTGGTCTGTGTTATCAATGGGATATGACAGAAGTGACGGCATGCCACTTTGGAGATTAGGTTATAAAAGACATTATTGGCTGGGTGTGGTGGCTCACACCTGTAATCCCAGCACTTTGGGAGGCTGTGGTGGATGGATCACTTGAGGTCAGAAATTTGAGACCAGCCTGGCCAACATGGCAAAATCCCATCTCTACAAAAACATACAAAAAGTAGCCAGGCATGGTGGCTTGCATCTGTAGTCCCAGCTACTCAGGAGGTCAAAGTGGGAGAATCGCTTGAACCCAGGAGGCAGAAGTTGCAGTGAGCTGAGATCGCACTACTGCATTCCAGCTTGGGCAACAGAGCAAGACTCTGTCTCAAAAGAAAAAGAAAAAGGCATTACGGTTTCCATCTTGATTGCTTACTTTCCCTTGAGGGATGCCTGCTACATCATGTATCGCTCTATGGACTGGTTAACATGGTGAAGAAGTGAAGCCTCTTGCTAAAGCCATGTGAGTGAGCTTGGAAAATGGATCCTTCAACCCTACTCAAGCCTTCAGATGAACTCATTTCAAACCATCATCTTGACTGCCAGATCAGGAGAGATCCTGACAACCACCCAGATAAGTCACTAATGGATTTGTGGCTTTCAGAGTTGTGTGAGACAGTAAATGTTTGATGCCTTCAGCTGTTAAATGTGGGGTAATTTTGTACATAGCAATATTATCCCCACTTGACACATGAAGAAATTTGGGCTCAGGAACATTAAGTTACTTGACCAAAGATACACAGAGCTGGAATTCAAACCCATTTCTAAGATACTCAAAGCCTAAACTCTTAGCTACTCTATGATACTGCCTTATATGTGTGCTCAATCTTATGTCATAACATATTACTTATTTTTTCCAATTAAACACCTACAATGTGCCTAATATTAAAAATGCACTGTACTATAGGTAACCTCTAGGGCTACCAGAAATTGAAGAAAGGACTGGATAGACTATCTCCTCAGGGAGTTTATTCCGTAGCATCTCAGGTAAGTACCCAGTTGCTCTCAGGTACCTAGTAGTTCTTAAGTACCTAGCAGTTCAAGTGATCTGCGAGAGCCACCTAGTGTTAACTCTGTTTCATTGCATTCAGCCCATTTAGCTGGACATAAATGTAAAAGCCACATTTTATGCTATTTGAATCCTACAAATTTTAAAGAATGTAAAACATTTAATGCTCTCATTATGTGTACAAAATGAGAAATAAGGCCAATCTTTACATTTATTCACATGGGAAATTAAGTTAAATTTCTCTCAATTCGGAATAACATAAGGTTTCACTCAATATGAAACAATACTCTAACTTCAGGCTTTTCCTTTTCTGACTTCTGGCACATCTGCCTACCTTCAGAAGTTTCTTTTCACTTAAGAGAAGAAATGGGCATTAAAAAAATGAATGAAAAAATGGGCATTTAAAAAATGTAGAAGATCCTCATTTATTTGCAAATTACGTATTTGATACATACTTGGTAAAATGTATTTATAAACCCGAAGTCAATACTCATATCACCTTCGTGGTCGTTTGTGGATATGTACAGCATGGTGAAAAACTTAAATTACCTGATATGCATTTTTCCAATTGATGCTGAACATGGATACATTCCATCTTACTTCAACTCTCATACTGTAAACAAGTGACCTTTTCACAGTATATGTAAAGCTGTGTTTTTCACATTTTTGTGGCTTTTTTTCTTTTGGAAATTTCACTGTTTAAAATGGCCCTTTAGTGCTAAAGTACTGTCTAGTATTTCTTTTTTTTGAGATGAAGTCTCGCTGTGTCACCCAGGCTAGAGTGAAGTGGCATGATCTTGGCTCACTACAACTTCTGCCTCCCAGGTTCAAGTGATTCTCCTGCCTCAGCCTCCCAAGTAGCTGAGATTACAGGCTCTTGCAATATGCCTGCCTAATTTTTGTATTTTTAGTAGAGATAGGGTTTCATCATGTTGGCCAGGCTGGTCTCAAACACCTGACTTCAGGTCATCTGCCCACCTTGGCCTCCCAAAGTGCTGGGATTGCAAGCGTGAACCATCGCGCCTGGTCTGTCTAGTGTTTCTAAGCACAAGAAGGCTCTGATGTGTCTTATAGAGAAAATACATGTGTTAGACAGGCTTCCTTCAGGCACAAGTTACACTGTTGGGAATTCAAAATATATATTAAATAAGATTTCTTTAAACAGAAACACAAATAAAACCAGGTTATGTATTGATCAGTTGATAAAAATGTTATGACCAAAGACTTACAGAAACCTAATCCTGTATTTACCCTAGTAGCAATGGTTCAATATTTGTTAATATGTTTGTGGTGACCACAGAATATAACAATGGTTCATAGATGAGAATCAACTATACACGCTAGTGATGGGCATTTTATATACTATCCTTATTTCCAACATATCACAGCAGAAAGTTTATTTAAACTCTAAAATAGTCCTGAATGCACTGAGTACTACTGAAATTCATATGGTATAAGGAGTAAATGTCTACAGTATTATCTAATTTAATTTTGTCCTACACATGAAGATCTGTTACGTCAGCTTTCATGGATTCATTATATTTTTCTAGTATATATTTAAATACATCTGCTGGGAGCGATGGCTCACACCTGTAATCTCAGCACTTTGGGAGGCCAAAGTGGGCAAATCTCTTGAGGTCAGGAGTTCGAGACCAGCCTGGCCAATATAGCGAAACCCTGTCTCTACTAAAAATACAAAAATTAGCTGGGTATGGCAGCACATGCCTGTAATCCCAGCTACTCAGAGGCTGAGGCAGGGGAATTGCCTGAACCCGGGAGGCAGGGGTTGCAGTAAGCCAAGATCGTGCCATTGCACTCCAGCCTGGCAACAGAGCAAGACTCCATCTCCCAAAAAAATAAATAAATAATAAAATAAATGCATCATAATTAAAAAGTTTTACATATATGTATGTGTATTATCAAAATTATTTTACCTACCACCCAATGGTTCATGTACAAACATTGATACATGAATCACATTGGAAAAACACTGCTATATATACTACTAAAAAAGTTGTCACCAAACTTTTCAATTATTATAATCCCTTTTAATAAAGAAATTTTGCAAGCCCCCATCTGAAAGTCGGTATACTTTTCTCAACTCAGATTAGGGATACTACTATGACACATGAAGAAAGAGTATTATGGTATATACCTGAAACTGTGCCAAATTGCTGAGGTGATGGTTTAGGATCACACTGTTGATCCAAAGACTCTGCATTAGTGACAGGTGGCTGCATATAGAGAGAATATCCCATTAAGATGTTCTCTGCTGCTGCTGCTGTTAGCTGGGGTCTCTGTCCTTCGCTAAGTTCACCCATACTGTTTTCCAAGTCCTTTAAAAAGTAGAAACAATTGTCAAAACCATCATATTAAAATCAAGTAAAAACAGGAAATATTTGCCCAATATCACAAACAATACCACTTGACTCCTTGGAAAGTATTTTACAAACTGCTACCTATAAGAAGTTAGTCTAATAAGCCTAGTGATAGGCTTTGTTTTCAATATAATTTCATATATTTTATGAAATCCATCACTATTTTTCAAGCTCCAATTAAATAGCCATACAACATATAAGAAAAATTCGATTACAATTTAAACACTAAATGAGGCCAGTATGGTGGCTCATACCTATAATCCCAGCACTTTGGGAGGCTAAGGCGGGAGGATCATTTGAGCTCAGGAGTTCGCAACATGGTGAAACCCTGTCTCTCTAAAAAATACAAAAATTAGCTGGGCATCGTAGCACACACCTGTAGTCCCAGCTACTTGGGGGGCTGAGGCAGGAGGCTAGCTTGAACCCGGGAGGCAGAGGCTGCAGTGAGCGAGATTGCACCACTATACTCCAGCCTGGGTAACACAGTGAGACCCTGTCTCAAAAAAACAAAAACTCAAAACCACTAAATGCTGGTATGCATTACACATTGTTCATACAGCTTAAAATGGGAATAACAGAAAACTTCTCTCATTCTTCATGAATAAAACTGCCTAAAGTTTGTCGTGTAAACTTTACAATTAAACAACTGATGAGGAGAATAATATACTTTAAACAGCATAAAGGTTACCCTTGTATCAATAATTACACTTTTATAAAAGTATAGAGATTATAGAAGACTACTTTAGTCATATTTAATAATGTTCTTTTCCCTGGAAAAAAATAAAAATACGAAAAGAACAAAAATTGCTGGCCAGGCGTGGTGGCTCACACCTGTAATCTCAGCACTTTGGGAGCCCCAGGTAGGTGGATCACCTGAGGTCAGGAGTTTGAGACCAGCCTGGTCAACATGGCAAAACCTCATCTCTACTAGGAATACAAAATTAGCCAGGCATGGTGGGGCATGCCTATAATCCCAGCTACTCGAGAGGCTGAGGCAGGAGACTCGCTTGAACCTGAGAGGTGAAGGTTGCAGTAAGCCAAGATCGTGCCATTGCATTCCAGGCTGGGCAACAAGAGCGAAACTCCATCTCAAAAAAAAATTTGTTTTAAATGAAATAAATGAACAATTGACAAAATGTAAGACTCTTATTTTCTTTCTATATTAAAAAATTATACATCCTAATTACTAGTACATTTTATGACTGGAGATATTCTAATTAATGAATTTACTAATTAAGAAATGAAGAAAAATTCCAATATCTGAAAGCTCCCATGTTTCTCATTCAAAAGGGGTTTAATTTCAACCAACAAGTGTTTTTTTTTTCCTAAAATATATGAAGAAATCAATGCTGCAACATCTTTGATGATTCCATTGACTATAAAATAAAATCCAAATTTCTTAGCTCAACATTCAAGATTCTCTTCAATTTGCCTTCATTCTCCTATGTACATTTCTATCTCCCCTTATTCCCTTAGCCTGGCTCTTCTTTAGGAATACCGATTGCCTCAATATCCTTTAAATTAAAAAATAATGTTTCATAATTAATATGAAATCCCTTGGAGACTCTTGGGTAGTATTTAGAATGATGACAGATGTGTTTTCCCCAGAAATTAATGAGAAATATTTCACAATGCCTATATTACTCTGCCCATCTATAGTAACTTCTCTGTTGTGAATCTGTTTTCTAGAATACTATTTAACTTCTTAAGAATACTCTAAGACCCTACTGAAGACTTATCCTGCCTATTTACAAAATGCTCTCATACTCTTAAGTATCGCTGAGTTTTGGATTATACTCAGTGCTTAAACTCACACCAATTTAAGTCAGGCTGCCTATAACATAGAGTAATATACCTGGCCAATCTACATATATGTACAAGTTACAGTTTTGCCATCACCCAGCTCTCACTGACCTAATGCCCCTGTGAGCAACAAGTTCCAAGCACAAAGAAAAGCCATTATTTACTTACCAAAGCAATATTTTAACTTATAGTATATCACTATTACTAGTTTTTATTACAAACAAACCAAATATGTAATAGCCCTTTAGACAGAAAAATACGCAAAATGTCACTGTTAATCAGACTGGCAAAAACTGAAAATTGAAATCATTATGTGTAACATGGGAAAGGGACTCATACAACTAGGGGAAAATTTTCAGTACCTAAAAACTTAAGTTGTGAATGCTTATATCTTTGAGCCAGCAATTCCATGCTTTAGTATCTGAATCTAGAAAAATAATTTCTCATAAGTACAAAAAAAGGATTTTATAACTAGTACAGTTGGATTAGAGAAAAATTGGAACCAATCTAAAAATCCTTCAAAAGGAGAATAAACTATGGTATACTTCTGGGTAGATAAAAAGAACATAGTAGATATTCAGGATTTATGTGAAATTTTAAAAAGCTGGTTGCACAGCAATATATACACACACCTCAAAATTATATACTCAGCCAGAAATTGTGGCTCATGCCTATAATCCCAGAACTTTGGAAGACTGAGGCAGGAGGATCACTTGAGGTCAGAAGTTGGTGACCAGCCTTGGCAACATAGTGAGACCCCAACTCGACCAAAAAAAAAAAAATTAGCTAGGCACGGCGTACACCTATAGTCCCAGCTATTCTGGGGGCTGAGGTGGGAAGATCACTTGAGTCCAAGAGTTTGAGGCTGCAGTGAGCTGATGGAGCCACTGCACTCCAGCCTGGACAACAGAGTAAAACTCTGTCTCAAAAAAATTCTCATATATATATATTTACACACACGCGCACACGCACGTGCCTACATATACACAAATATATTTATATATATACACACAAATGCTTAAATGCTTAGAAAAAGATCTGAAGAAGATAGAATTCTAACTTCTGCATTACTGTTCTAGCCAGGACAGCACAATAACAAAGGCTGCCAGCTCTCAAAATCAACACTGGAGTAACTACAGAGGTGAAAAAGAACCCATAGATTCTGAGAAAGTAAAAACTGTGAAAAAACACTGGGGAAGACAGACAGCTAACTTAAACTGGTACGTGTGGAAAGAAAGGGGTTGCATCCTGGGGAGGAGGCTCTCTAGATCTGGAGGGGCTTTGTGAGAAGAATGACTGGAGAAAACCACTTGTTTCTTTCCCTGTTGAGATCACTGCTTGCCCCTCGACCATAAAAGTCTTCTTGGTAACAACCCCAGCTGTACATGCTGGTGCCCCAGAGTAGTATCAGGGAACATGTCAGCCTAGCTATGGTGAAAACTATAGATGAAGTCTGTCCAGAAGCCCATCCATGGGCATTCATTCCTTTGCCCTCTTCCCCTCCAAACCCCAGGACTGGTGGATTATAAACCTGCCCAAAGCAACTTCTTCCTAAGGGTTTAAAGACACAATAATCACCAGAAGAGCTACATAGTGGAGTAACAGCAAACAGCAGGGACAGTGACCAAGGGTGGTTCTGTGATGCCTGAGGCTCTCCTCCCTAGGTTTCTCTCCTCCCCTCTGCTTCAATTCTCTGAAACAGACCATAGGCTGGTTTTATCCTTACCCAAATTCTCAGACAGAATAGTTGATCCCATCAGTGAAATATGAACTCACAGGCCAAAAGAACCAGATACCTGAGGAGTCAGTAAGTTTAAAAAGAAAAAAAAAAAACAAACAGAAAACAAAGTGAATGATATTAACCAGACAGACACACAGAGAAGGAGATAAGAAAAGATATTAAAATGTAAAGCAAAAAATTAAAAGAAAACAAGAATGTCAAATATGAAAAATAAGATAAATGGGATAAACCGTATGGTAGAGAACAAATTAGTAGTCAGCAGATCAGATTGGGGAGTTCTCCCAGAATAGAGAAGAAAAGAAAGGATAGAAAATTTAAGGGATAAGAAAAACAGAAATAAAGTGTCAGTATCTGGAAATGAGTTGGGCGGCGGGGGGTGGGGGAGTAAAAGGAAAAAAAAAAAAAGAGAAAGAAATAATGAAGATAAATTTCCCAGCATCTAAAAGATGAAAAGGTCTGATAAAATTGAATGAATAAATACACTGATATTAGTGATTTCCAAAAGAAGGAAAACTGGGCTTAGTCACTGGGATTGATAAATTATGTGGACACTTCTGCTATTTGCCACCTCTTTTTGTACCATTTGTTTGTCTCATTCTCTCTTCCTCCTTCCCTCTCCCTCTTTCTCTTTCTCTCCCTTCCACGCACACATGCACTTTCTCTTCCCTCCTTCCCTTCACAATCTCAGCTTACTGGTTTCAATACTAAGCATCGTAGTTTCTGCAGCTATGAGAGTACTTTTTTGAACTTAGCAACACAGACATCACAACTAATATTTTTCTGGTGAAATAAATTTTTGGTCTATAGCTAAGTAAAGTTTCAGAAAATTTAATTACTTTAATAAGAAGGAATATGTTGTTTTCATTTTTTCCCGTAACTAAATTTTACATCTTCTCCTACCTTTCCTAATCATTTCGAGTTTTAAGAATAAAAAAAGAAAAGACAACCAACCATCTCCTTGGACTCTATCTAGTCTTCAGATCTTCAGCTCATCTAAAGCCAGTTTCACATTTGTTCATGCAAAGACAACCAGATACGATAGAAACAGCACTAAATATAGATCAAGAATCCTAGTCTCAGCTCCATCATTAACCAGTCTGAATGACAATGCTCTACATTTCCACCTGGAATTTCCTTAAGCACCTTAAATTTAATGTGCATATCGAACTCATTACTTTCCCCATAATATCTGGCAGTCTTTCTGCACTTCTAAGCCAACAACTATACAATCACCCACCCAGGCTCTGAAGGTAGGAACCTCAAGATTATCCTTAAAAAAATGCTTCTTGACCTCTCTCAAACAATGACTAATTACTGTCAATCCTATGCCCTTAAATTTAAATCTCACTCCTCTCACTTTCTGCTATAACTGTCTTTGTTCATGTTCTCATTCTTTCTTGCTGGGACTACTCCAGTGGCGTTCTGACAGTTCCCCCATGTCTCCCTCATTTATTTATGGCTTCATACTCCTTCCTAAGGCAACTTCCTTATCCAAAAACCGTCATGGGCTCCACGGTGCCCAAGCCTTACCATGGCCTAAATAAAATGTTCTTTATGATCACCTGGTTCAATCTACTTCTCCAGACTTATCTGATTCTTTATCTAAAATTCTAGCCACACTGAGATTTTCAATACTTAATATGCTTTAATATTTCTTGGCTCTCATCCCCAACAAATGCTATTTCTGCTTCTGAAATGTACTTCCCTTTTGTTGCTGCCTGCAAAGTCCTACTCCATCTTTAAAGACTGACATCAATACAATATTGTGTATAAGTGTCATCTGACTTCAAGCAGAGTCTTTTCTCCTGTGTGTTCATACAGTACTTGTAAATAGCTATTTGTTCAGTTATTGCACTGTTGAATAATTACTTGTGTAAGCCTTTATCTTCCTGCATGACTGTAAGCTGTTTAAAGGTAGGGGTCACGTCTTATTTATCTTGGTATCTTTTCCAAGGTTGTATCCAGCATTTATAATGGATACTCAATAAATGGCGGAATAACGAATGAATAATCCTCACAAAGTTTCAGCTTTTTCAACCGTAGAACAAGATGATTGAAACAGATGGTCTAAATTCCTTTCAGTTATAAAACTCTACAGTCCCATTACTCCAAGTTAAAGTTGCTACAGCACTGACCCCTGAATAAAATACTAGCATGCTTTAACTTATACTAAGAATATTTTAATTTTTCCTGTATTTATATCTAACCAAAACAAAAGTCATTAAGGTTAAAAAGTACCTCTGAATGATAGACTGCTTGCTGTAAAACTCCTGAATCCTGGTTTTGTTTAGCAAGAAGAGAAAGAATTGCATCTACATGAAATTTTTTATGGGGCATCCTAATCACTTGCCCTTCACTAGGAGGATCATCCTCCTAAAAAAAAAAAAAAAAACATAAAGACAATTAATAAAAATAAAATTTTTGAACAATTGGATTTTTCTCAATTTATAATTAATAAAAACTTAGCAGTCATGAAATGATATTAGCATTTTTTGAAAGATGAACTCTTTATTTTCATCAAGTTTTCATTTTCTTTTGTCTATAATAAAAGGCCTCTACATTTGACTCAATTATAAACCACAGTATAACATGTAAACTGGAGATGTGTTATAAAAACATAAAAATCTAACTGTCTGTCCCATGCATTTGAGCTACCATGAATCACAAATGTTTTATATGATATCATTGGTTTTGGGTCACACAGCTGCTTCTTCATATTTCTGCAGTAAAGCAATGCCACAGTGTGGAAATGGGGGCAAAGCATTGAAAAGCTGCAACATGGACCACAAGCAAAAATGAAAAACTGAAGAAATATGGGATGGCAGCTATAGACCTCAATATCCCTTGCCTTTGGGCTGACATCTGGCTTACTTGGCGAGGGCATCAGTACTGAGGGCCCTCACTGGAGCACCCTGTATAGGCTTTTTCATGACTCCAAATAGGTCCATCCCAACAACGAGGAAAAGTGTGACCCTCAGAGTCTAACAAAGTGGATTCTCATGTAAATATAAATATTAACATGATTCCAAATTCATTAAAAGCATTTGTATTTATTTTATTTTTCATAAAATAAAGTTTATCGACTCCAGATTATAAGTCCCTATACTCTAGCTATGTATAGATAAATACCAACTGGTACACGACTTCAAGTTATTTGGGGTTTTTCCAGATTGTGCTTTTGCATTTGACTTTATTATGAATTTGTAGCATATGTGATTTAGGCATAGTAAAAATATCAAAATCAGAATTTAGTTTCAAATGTAGAAAAAGAGAAGCAAGTTATAATTTAGTCTTAGTTCAGTTTATTTACTTTAAAGAAATTCAAACATGCTTTGGCACTTTGAAAAACGCAAAGAAAGGAGAAAAATACTCTAACAGTACATTAAAAAGACCAAAAAGATGAAATGTTAGTAATGCTTCTCTGAAAATAAATGTAACTCATTTATGCCTTCTTCCCACATTATTTCATTAAAAAGTGATTGCTGTGCTCTCTTCACAATTAGCTCAACCAGTTACCTGCAATAAACAACTGTTTAAAAATTGTTTTATTAAAATCTTATCAAAAAACTTTTTTTTTTGTTTTTTGAGACGGAGTTTCGCTCTTGTTACCGAGGCTGGAGTGCAATGGCACGATCTCGGCTCACCGCAACCTCCGCCTCCTGGGTTCAGGCAATTCTCCTGCCTCAGCCTCCTGAGTAGCTGGGATTACAGGCACGCGCCACCATGCCCAGCTAATTTTTTGTATTTTTAGTAGAGACGGGGTTTCACCATGTTGACCAGGATGGTCTCGATCACTTGACCTCGTGATCCACCCGCCTTGGCCTCCCAAAGTGCTGGGATTACAGGCGTGAGCCACCGCGCCCGGCAAAAAACTTCTTAACGAAGTCTTTTCATAGGCCTATGTGAAATAAAAAATAGCAACAATGCTTTAAAAAGATATGAATAAATATAGATAATAGTTTAGTACAATTACCTTTCCTTGCTTAGATTGTTTAAAAATATATAAAAAGTAAAGATTTCTATTCCTTAACAGGTTTTTCAAAACAAAATTCCCACTATCATTTCTATATATTTATATATAACAGGATATTTTTAAATGCTAACTTTTTCTTCCACAGAGCTAGATAAAAAAAAAGAAAGGGTTAGTATCCCTGGTTCTCATTTTTCTTTTTAAGCCACTAAGTGTAAATATTTATTAGCACAAAGAATTATAATCATGGTTAGGGAAAAATAACAAATGTATTATATGAGTTGGTTTAAATAGGTAAGATCTTGCTTAAATATTTTAAAGACAACATATAGAGGTAACAATTTGCAATCAGCTAGATTTCATTACCTAATCACATTAAATGTATATTTTTCTACTACTAGAGCCACAAGGGTAAATAATAACTTTTTTCATTCTCATAATTGTAAGATTATATAATGAAATGTGCAAGAAACCCTAAATTATTTCATGGTTATTTCACTAAATTTTGTGTCTATAACTCAAAAAATTGAGAAAAACTTGACGATTGGCAACCAATTCATAAAGATATTCTTCCTGTCAGAATTCAGTGTTGGAGTCAATCATTCCTTACCATTTCAACGGAATCATGCAGAGTGCTGGATAAGCTATCATTAAGGTTTGTCAGATACAGTCCTACATCTTCTAAAACTAGAAATTAAAATATAAAAATTTAGAAAAAAAAAAAGAAACACAACTTTAGCAAATAATCTATCCATAAAGCCATAGAATATTAGATTTAAAATTATACTGCAATGGAAATATTGGCAAAGTTTATAAAAAAGTAATTCACAAACTACTCAATCTTACCAGTTTTTTTCAAAAGTACCATTTATAGCAAAGATTAGATTTTTGTTTAACCTACCAGTTTGTTAGAAATTAAGAACTATAAATATCAATTGTAGTTATGAAAACTGAGAAACGAGTACTCTCATATACTATTGATATAATTAAAACTGATTAAAATTAAGAGCTAAAATCCTTCCTTGAACTTAAAGCAAAGAAAAAAAATCCTTTCTAGACAGCATGTTGGTGATGTATCTTTAAAGTAGACCCAGTAATTTCACTTCTAGGCATATATTCTAAGGAAGCTACCAGATAAGCGCACCAAGATATATATACATGAAAGAATGGTAATTAGAGAGTTGGGTCTAGACTGAAAGCACTGAAAACAATCTAAATGCCTTCTATTAAGGCATTAAACAAACAACACAGCCATAAAAAAAAATAAGGTAGATTTATATGGAGTCATATTAAAAGATATCCACAATATATTATTAGGTTAAAAAAATTCAGATTTCAGGCTGGGTGCAGTGGCTCACGCCTATAATCCCCAGCCCTTTGGGAGGCCAAGGCGCGTGGATCACTTGAGCTCAGGAGTCTGAGACCAGCCTGGACAAAATGGTGAAATCTCGTCAGTACAAAAAAATATAAAAGTTAGCTGGGGCTGGTGGTGGGCGCCTGTAGTCCCAGTAACTCAAAAGGCTGAGGTGGGAGGATCACTTGAGCCCAGGTAGTTGAGGCTGCAGTGAACCACAATCTTGCCACTGCACTCCAGCCTGGATGACACAGTGAGATCCTGTCTCAAAAAAAAGAAAAGAAAAAAAAATTCAGGTGTCAAAACGATATGCACAGTAGAATCCTATTTTTAAAGGTAAACATACATCCACATATACATGTATTTATTATGTGTCTATATACGTGTAGACAAAAAAGATTGGAAAGGTCTACCTCAAACCGTTAAGAGTGATATTATTTCTGGAGGGTGGGATTATAGGGAATATTTGACTTTCTGAAGTTAAGATCCAGAAAAGTTAACTAAATTGTACTGGACCCCCTATTCTTTCTACTATACCATGTTAAATCTTGAAAATTAAGTAAAAACACTTTAAACAGAAAAGGATTACTTAAGGAATTACCATAATCTAACAAATGAAATCAATTAACAGAAATTAACTTACTCTTGGGGGCCAATTTTTGACCACAGCTAAATAAAATCTCTCCTTCAGAGATGGGTTTATCTGAGGTTTCAGTTTCAGTGACAGTAACACTCGATGTGCTCTCCAGTGTTGATGAATCAGAACCTGGCATCTGTGAGGGGGAAGGGGGCTTGGTGGCAGCAGGAAATGGCATAAAGGGAACTGGCTCTGGAGGTAGAGGCTGAGCAGGGAAATCCATACTCTCTGGTTCTTCATCCTTAGCCACAGACATTACACTAAGAAAATAAAGACATATTTTGGGCTTATTAGGTCACTGTTCACTTTGACATAAAAAACAGACTCGAAGACTATGTCTCCTCTAGCAAAATATTTTTTTGAATCTGCACTACTATAATTAACAAGATTTTAAAAAATTGTTTTCATGCTTTAATCATAGGCCATCTTGAAAGGTCTTCGAGACATCAAATAAATCTACATAGAGATATATAATATAAAAGTTAACTGATGATAGTAAATAATGATCCATAATAGGGAGAAACTGTTTTCTATTTTATTAACAATATAACAGATACCTTTAATTCAATCTACTTCAATCCTTTTAAGAAAAAAGGTGAAGGCATAAATAAATTTGATAATTTTTAAAAATTCAACATTTATGAAAGTTCTTTCAAAGTATAAGGTAGTCTGTGGTTTATAAAGCTTTGTATAATATTGCTATGTTTTCAGTGGATCACATAAGTCAAACTTAAGTTGAAAGGTACAGTTACAAGTTATGTTCTCATTTACATAGCTCTCGGATGAAGTTCTTCTTGAGGAGAGTTAGGGTTTTCTTCTTCCAGTGGCAGGTCTCCATCACCCCATGGCTTGAGAAGCTCTGGGCTTGATACCTTCAATTTATCAATGGAAATCTCTGACAAAGTTGGGGTAAAAACTGCCGCTGGAGGAGGTGTAGTAGTAGGGGTAACTGCTGGAGTATTAGCAAGCATGACGGCAGGCATATCATCTCCTAAAGATTTTTTTAAAAAAAGATAGTAGTAAACAACTCCTTAGGATGGTAAGATACATTGCTTCAGATATTCCTTACCATTTTAGCATACAAATAATGGCAATTATAATTAATAAAATAATGAGAGTGGTGGTGGCCATTAATGGGTAAATTCCTAAATTTGGTAAAAGCATTAAAAAAAAAACAAACCCTTGAAAAGGTATCGTTTTTAATACCACCGTATACTTAGTCTAAGCATCTATTCAATTATATACTTTAAGAAGTGGCACCAGGCGCAGTGGCTCACGCCTGTAATCCCAGCACATTGGGACGCTGAGGTGGGTGGATCACCTGAGGTCAGGAGTTCAAGACCAGCCTGGCTATCATGGTGAAACCTGATCTTAAAAAAAAAAAAAAAAAAAGAAGTAGCAATCAATTTCTAAATTTCCTTGCAAGAAGTAAGCAACAAGTATGTATACATTAATAAAAAGCATCTTATAAGATAAATCATGAAACTTTACTTAATAGTTGCTAAAATTAAAACTGAATAACAGAAATAAAGTTTCTACCTTTTTCAGCTAATACTTTTTTCACAGGAAAAGCCATATCATGATCCGAATCACAGGGAGAAGAATCTGGAGTCTTTACCAAAACACACTCCTTAGGAGATGATGAAGTTGAGCGAGGAGGTGTAGGCTGTGGGGTAGCCAATGGGGTACATACTCTTGCCTAAAATAAATTAATAAAACAAGATAAACTGTGTTTTTATCACCCAAATAAAAGTAATTTGAAATAATAATATGAACTCATTCATAGACTAGAGATAATTTAAATTGACAGCAGGGTTAAGTACCCCAACTCTTGAACATCTACCTGTTAGTCTACGATTGGCCTGCTGAAAGTCTCAGGCAATTGAAATTGCCTCTGAAGTAGTCCCCACAGAATTCTAAGGCACCCTCTTTTAAAATAGAGAAGTAATTTATATTCCTACCAACAGTGTATAGGCATTCCCTTTTCTCTGCAGCCTCACTAGCAACTGTTGGTTTGTATTTTGTTGTTGATTTTTTATTTTTATTTTTACTTTATTTTTATTTTTTTTTGAGACAGAGTTTCGCTCTTGTTACCCAGGCTGGAGTGCAATGGCACGATCTCTGCTCACCGCAACCTCCACCTCCTGGGTTCAACCGATTATCCTGCCTCAGCCTCCCAAGTAGCTAGGACTACAGGTGTGTGCCACCATGCCCAGCTAATTTTTGTATTTTTAGTAAAGACAGGGTTTCACCATGTTGACCAGGATGGTCTCGATCTCTGGACCTCGTGATCCACCCGCCTTGGCCTCCCAAAGTGCTGGGATTATAGGCGTGAGCCACCGTGCCTGGCAGATTTTTTTTAATTTTTAATTTTTGTGGGTACATAGTAAATATATATACATATGTTTCTGGCTATCTTTTTTTTTTTTTACCTTTTAATAATAGCCATTCTGACTAAGATGTGGTTTTAATTTTCATTTTTCTCATGATTAGTGATGATGAACATTTTTTCATGTTTGTTGATGGTTTGTATGTCTTCTTTTGAGACCATTACTGGGTGTATACCCCAAAGATCATTATACCAAAAAGACACGTGCACTTACATGTTCATTGCCACACTATTCACAACAGCAAAGACATGGAGTCAACCTAGGCACCCATCAATGGTGAACTGAATAAAGAAAATGTGGTACATATTCACCATGGAATACTACACAGCCATAAAAAAGAACAAAATCCTGTTATTTGTAGCAGCATGGATGGAGCTGGAGGCCATAATCCTGAACAAACAAACAGGGGAGCAAATGTTGTCACTTATAAGTGAGAGCAAAACATATATTCTCACTTGTGAGAGCTATACACTGGGCACACATAGACATAAACATGACAATAGACACTGTGGACTATGATGGCAGAGGGTGGAAGCTAAGAAGTAGGGAATGGGTTGAAAAACTACTTTTGGATACTACACTACCTGGGTCCTATATATACACATACTAATCCAACATATGTATCCCCTATGCCTAAAATAAAAGCTGAAATTTTAAAAATAAAGAAGACAGAAAGATTAAATAGACAAAGCTGAAGATCAAATCCAATTACAAAAATGAAGGAAAGGCATAACACAGAAAGGAAGCATTTTAACTGATTGACAAGATACCAAAAAAAAAAAATCAGTCTTTTTGCACAAAAAAACAAAGTATATAAAAAGTAATGGAAGGATAAGAAAAAGTGGGAGTTGGGGAGAGATGAAGACAGCAGGGAGACGGAAAGTACTGGAGAAGGAAAAGTGGAACAATTTAAGATTAATTTGTTGAATAGGTAATCATTCAAATGGTTCCAAATTAAAAAGGTACAAAAGGATAGCGAAAATTAAGTCTCTCTCCTACTCTTATCCTTTCTACCTAGAGCCCTTCCTCAGAGTTATCAAATAATCTTGACTTCAGTCATTTCATATATATAACATATGGATATATCTATGGAATAAGTTCCCGAAAGTGGGACTACTCTATTAAAGGACAAATTATGTTTTTAGTTTTAATAGATATTGCCAGATTTCCTGGTACAAGATTTTACTATTTTATACTACCACCAGAAGGTAGGAAAATGACAATTTTCCCCAGATTTATTAGACTTTTAGAGTTTTGCCAATCTGATCAGTAAAAATGGAATTTCAATAACTGTTTTTTATTATCTATGAGGTTGATCATTTTCTTTTTTTTTTTTATATGTACATGGGTCATTTGTATTTCTTCTATGTGTTTGACCTGTCTGCTCCTGTCCTCTGGCCATTTAAAAAATATATTACTGGGCAAGGCGCGGTGGCTCAAGCCTGTAATCCCAGCACTTTGGGAGGCCAAGGCGGGTGGATCACGAGGTCAAGAGATCGAGACCATCCTGGTCAACATGGTAAAACCCTGTCTCTACTAAAAATACGAAAAATTAGCTGGGCATGGTGGTGCATGCCTGTAATCCCAGCTACTCAGGAAGCTGAGGCAGGAGAATTGCCTGAACCCAGGAGGCGGAGGTTGCAGTGAGCCGAGATCGCGCCATTGCACTCCAGCCTGGGTAACAAGAGTGAAACTACATCTCAAAAACAAAAACAAACAAACAAACAAACAAAACAAATAAAAAATATATTACTTAACTTTTTCTTTATTCTAAAAAGTATATAAGGTGATTACCCTTTATTCTGTATGAGTTGCAAATTAAAATGCAATTTAAAACCATGAAACATATTAGAATTTCTATAGCACTGCTTAATAATTAGTGTACTCAGCCTTCATTTTTTTTTTTTTTTTTGAGACCGAGTTATGCTCTTGTTACCCAGGCTGGAGTGCAATGGCGCGATCTCGGCTCACCGCAACCTCCGCCTCCTGGGTTCAGGCAATTCTCCTGCCTCAGCCGCCTGAGTAGCTGGGATTACAGCCATGTGCCACCATGCCCAGCTAATTTTTTATATTTTTAGTAGAGACGGGGTTTCACCGTGTTGACCAGGATGGTCTCGATCTCTTGACCTTGTGATCCACCCACCTCAGCCTCCCAAAGTGCTGGGATTACAGGCTTGAGCCACCACGCCCGGCTCTCAGCCTTCATTTTTAAATGAAAAAAGTAAACTAGGCCGGGCGCGGTGGCTCAAGCCTGTAATTTCAGCACTTTGGGAGGCCGAGGCGGGTGGATCACGAGGTCAAAAGATCGAGACCATCCTGATCAACATGGTGAAACCCCGTCTCTACCAAAAATACAAAAAATTAGCTGGGCATGGTGGCGCATGCCTGTAATCCCAGCTACTCAGGAGGCTGAGACAGGAGAATTGCCTGAACCCGGGAGGCGGAGGTTGCGGTGAGCCGAGATCGCGCCATTGCACTCCAGCCTGGGTAACAAGAGCGAAACTCCGTCTCAAAAAAAAAAAAAAAAAAAGTAAACTATATCTTTTTCTCTTCTTGACTGCATAAACATATAGCACAAAAATGTTTTCAAATATAACACTATTGTCTCATCATTGTGAAAGGATCTGAAGGTATTTTTCTAGTATTGGTAATGAATAATAAAGATGATAAACTATTAGTAACTGAGTATTTATTTACCAAGTTCTAGGCACCAGATTAAGCTCTGTCCATATATCATCTCATTTAATCTTCAGCAAAACTTTGGCTAAGAAAACACAGTACAATAAATATTTCAATCCTTCTTACATGAAGCCGGTCAAAATTGGTTTAATTCCCATTGAAATCTCAACAATATTTTTAACGGAACTTAAGAACTAACCTTAAAATATATGTGAAAGATTAAAAGGTCAAGAAAAGCTATGACAATTCTGAAGGTGAAGAATGATAAGTGGCAGGCTGGGAGTAGTGCTTGCCTTACTAGATATTCTGTAAGAAGATTTTAGTAAAGCCATCATCATTTAAACTAAGTATTCTATCTCTGTTATAGAGGTAAAACTAAAGCAATGGAGCTTGGAATTCAAATTCAGATTTTACCAACCCCAAAGTCCAAGCTCTTTACACTGGTTTTCCCACATTTTCTCATCCAATCACCCTTATGAAAGTATATGCAATATATAGGCAGAAAGCAAACCAAAGTAACTGGCCTAGAAAAAACCATAACCCTGACCACATCTGTACTGAGTGCCTTCCCAATGAGCTAATAAAGCACAGATCAAAACTACAGATCAATTATTTGGCACATGAATCGCATTATACCACACCAATGTCTACAAAAGTAAAACACAGTATGTAACTTCATGTTCATACATCGAATGATGTTTAAATGTTTCATGTAGGCTAGGCGCGGTGGCTCACGCCTGTAATCCCAGCACTTAGGGAGGCTGAGGCGGGTGGATCACGAGGTCAAGAGATCGAGACCATCCTGGTCAACATGGTGAAACCCTGTCTCTACTAAAAATACAAAAAAATTAGCTGGGCATGGTGGTGCGTGCCTGTAATCCCAGCTACTCAGGAGGCTGAGGTAGGAGAATTGCCTGAACCCGGGAAGCGGAGGTTGCGATGAGCCGAGATCGCGCCATTGCACTCCAGCCTGGGTAACAAGAGCGAAACTCCGTCTCAAAAAAAAAAAAAAAAAAAAAAAATGTTTCATGTATATAAAATGATGTCTTTGTGGTCTATAGGATCAGAAGTAACTATAGTTTTAAACAGCTGGTAATAGAGAGTAAATTTTGGCTTTGCATAATTTCGTATTGCTATAATAGATACAGATTCTTTTTAACACAAGTAAGGTTGATTAAACAATGAAAGTTCCTGAAATGTATTTTTTTAAAGACTAAAAATATCAGTTTATATAATAACCCAAAGCAATGTGTGATTCTTAGCTATATCTTGATTAAAAAAAACTATAAAGGATATTTTTGGAACAATTGGTGAAATCTAAATATGGGCTCTATATTCTATATTATTAACATGTCAAGGTTAAATTTGGGGGGTCTGATGATGGTATTTTGGTTATGTAATAAAGCAACTTGTTTTGTAGAGATACTGCTGATGCTTTTGAGGTAAAGTGTCACGGTATCTATAACTTTCTTTTTTTTTTTTTTTTTTGAGACAGAGTTTCGCTCTTGTTACCCAGGCTGGAGTGCAATGGCGCGATCTCGGCTCACCGCAACCTCCGCCTCCTGGGCTCAGGCAATTCTCCTGCCTCAGCCTCCTGAGGAGCTGGGATTACAGGCATGCGCCACCACGCCCAGCTAGTTTTTTGTATTTTTAGTAGAGACGGGGTTTCACCATGTTGACCAGGATGGTCTCGATCTCTCGACCTCGTGATCCACCCGCCTCGGCCTCCCAAAGTGCTGGGATTACAGGCTTGAGCCACCGCGCCCGGCCCGGTATCTATAACTTTCAAATGGTTTTTAAAGGATATATGATATATAGCAGATATAACACAGATTTTTTTCAGTGTGCCAAAATATTATCAATCAATAAATATGAATGAGCCTTGATTAAATAACTAAATAAAAACATAGGTTTGAACTGCAAGAGTCCAGTCATACCAGGATGTTTTTTCAACCAAATGTGGATCAAAATCAGTATTCATGATAAGAAACCCTTATATACAGAGGGCTGACTTTTCATATATTTGGGTTTTTCAGGGCCAACTGTGAGACCTGCATATGGAAGGATTTGCCAATTCCCCACGTATACCAATGGACAACTGTATATGTAAAAGGTGTGCAGATGTTCACTGTATCACACTTTCAACTATTCTATAGATTTAAAAGTTTTAAAAATAAAATGCTAATGGGAAATGTTACTTTAATCAGAGCCACAAGGAATAAAATTCTACCACAAGCTGGGCATGGTGGCTGGTGCCTATAATCCCAGCTACTCAGGAGGCTGAGGCAGGAGATCACTTAAGCCCAGAAGTTCAAGACCACAAGACCACCCAAGGCCATAAATAAAGACCACATCTCTAAAAATAATAATAATACTTCTACTACAAACAATGATCTTATGGTATGCAGCTTAAAGTTTATCTATTTTACTGTTCTTCAATAAATCTATCAAAAATTCCTCATACCGGCAAATACGTTTCATTTGTTGAAGCATCCCCAGAAACACTTGCAGCAACAGGATCTTGCTTTTTTGGTTCTCTGTCACCCAGCATAACAGCAATGGTCTCAGCAAGAGCTTCGTTCACAAAATGCTTAATCATGTCTGAGTTCACAGGAACACCAGCATCAACAAAAAGCTGGAGGGCACCATTGCTTGTTCCTTCCACTAAAGGAAAAAAAAATTCAGAGTAAGTGGGCAAGAAACATGCTTGTAATTCAAACTTTCATTTTATTTTTTTCTTGAAACAGAGTCTCACATCGTCACCCAGGCTGGAGTGCAATGACACAGTCTTGGCTCACTGCAATCACTGCCTCCCAGGTTCAAGTGATTCTCCTGCTTCAGCCTCCAAAATAGCTGGGATTACAGGTGTGTGCCACCACGCCTGGGTGAGGTTTAGGAATTGACTGCCAAGTGGTATAAGGAAGCTTTTGGAGAAGATAGAAATGTTTTTCTATCTCATGATTATGTGGTTAATGTACAGCTGTGTGTACTTGTCAAAGCTTGTCAAACTGGGCCAGATGCAGTGACTCACTTCTGTAATCCCAGTGCTTTGTGAGGCCAAGGCAGGAGGATCACTTGAGGCCAGGAGTTTGAGATTAGCTTGAGAAACAGCAAGACCCCCGTCTCTACTTTATCTGTCTGTCTGTCTGTCTGTCTGTCTATTTGGCAGTCTCACTCTATCACCCAGGCTGGAGTGCAGTGATGTGATCTTGGCTCACTGCAATCTCCGCCTTCTGGGTTTAAGCAATTCTCCTATCTCAGCTGCTGGAGTAGCTGGGATTACAGGTGTGCACCATCACACCCAGTTAATTTTTATATTTTTAATAGAGACAGGGTTTTACCAGGTTGGCCAGGCTGATCTTGAACTCCTGACCTCAGGTGATCTGCCTGCCTCAGCCTCCCAAAGTGTTGGGATTACAGGCCTGAGTGATTGCACCTGACCCAAGAATTATTTTTAGCTGGGCATGGTGGCACACACCTAATTACTTGGGAGGCTGAGGCAGGAAGGTTGCTTGAGCCCAGGAGTTGGAGGTTACAGCAAGTTATGATCATGTCTCTACAGTCCAGCCTCTAGCATAGATGACAGAGCAAGACGGTGGTTCTACTTAAAACAAACAAACAAACAAACAAACAAAAAACTTGTCAAACTGCACACTTAGAAGTGGTGACTTCTATGGCAAGTAAACTTACCATAAAAAAACAAGAAGGAGGTGGAAAGGAAGAAGAATAGGAGAAGGAAGAGGAAGAGAAGAAAAAAATGGGGAAAAGAAGGGGAAGAAGAAGAGAGAAAGGGGAAAGGAGAAAAAGAAGGAAAAAATGGGGAAGAGAAGGGAGAGAAGAAGGAAAGAGGGAAGGAAAAAAAAGAATGGCATAGGCTCTATAAAAAGGCACATTTTAACCATTTAGGCCAGGCTCAGTGGCTCATGCCTGCAATCCCAGCACTTTGGGAAGGCTGAGGCGGACAGATCACGTGGTCAAGAGATAGAAACGATCCTGGCCAACATGGTGAAACCATGTCTCTACTAAAAATACAAAAAATTAGCTGGGTGCAGTGACGAGTGCCAGTAGTCCCAGCTACTCGAGAGGCTAAGGCAGGAGAATCACCTGAACCTGAGAGGCGTAGGTTGCAGTGAGCTGAGATCGTGCCACTGCACTGCAGCCTGGGCAACAGAGTATGATCCCATCTTACAAACAAAAAGGCTCATTTTAACTGTTCAATGCATACATAAACTCTTGTTAGGTATCAGCCAAGGTCTAGGCACAAAAGGAGAAACATCCTTAAATCCTGAGTAAGTTATAGTCTAGAGTGAGACAGATATGGAAACCAAGCTTGATATAATCTGATAATTACTATAACAAAAGTATGTACAGAGTACTATGAGGATAACAGAGATTTGGAGTGGGAGGTATGAAGAGTGGCTTAATCATCTGAAAGCTGCAACATGAAATAAGAGGGTAAGAGATAACTAACCATCATCACAAAGAAGTACTATGAAGTTAGGTTAGAAGAGCTTACCTTTTGTTGTTGGAGGATTTACTTGACCTCTGGAATGTATAAATCCAAAGTGAACTAAGGCTTTTGTCTTTTAATAAAAAAAAAAAGATGCATTTCACTCACCAATGTCAGAAGTCAGTGGTTCGCTTGTCTCACTGACTGACACACTGATATTAGGGGCAATCTGTTGCTGGATTGGAAAAAGCCCAGAGATCATTCTTGACATTATTTCTTGCTCTACCCTGAGTGGGGGAGGGGCAGATAAAAGTTAAGATTCCTCAATTTAATTGAAATGTTAAAAATGCTAGACATACCACCCTTAAAAAGAACCTTTACCAATGCCACAAACATGTTTGTGTGAAAGCAATCATTCTGAAAGTTAAATCTAGAAGAAAAAGAATAATAAAATGGGCTGGGCATCATGGTGCACACCTGTAATCTCAGCACTTTGGGAGGCCACGTTGGGCAGACTGCTTGAGCTCTGGAGTTCAAGATCATCCTGGGAAACAAGGCAAAACACCGTCGCTACAAAAAATACAAAAAATTAGCTGAGCATGGTGGTATGTGCCAGCTAGATAGAAGGCTGAGGTGCGAGGACGGCTTGAGCACAGGACGTCAAGGCTGCAGTGAGCCATGATCATCCCACTGCACTACAGCCTGGGCAATAGAGACCCTGTCTTGAAAAAAAAAAAAGTACCTCTCAAGAAGATAAAACACATTAAACAGAATCTCCTTGTGGGAGATAGTTCATGAAATCAAATTAAAATCTTTCAGATTAGTCTAATGAAAAGCTTAACAGAACTCCTAAATTCAAAATAAGACTTGGGTCAATAACATCATGTACCTAAACTGTTTTATTTCCACTCTGAGCGCACATATAAAAACCATACAACATCAGAGCTAGAAAAGAAGTCCAGCTGCCCTCCCTCCTCAAGGAAATAAACATATAGACTGTAATATAGTACAGCTTACATGTTTATTTTAGTTTTCCTCTTAAAATGTAAAGAAAAATGTATCTCCAAGGTCATCTTTGGGAAGGGAAAGGGGAACAGGAGACTTCTAGAACATTTCTTTAGAGCAGCTAATAGACTTCTTAAACATTTTTATTATATAAATAATAGGTGTTCATTGTTAAAAATTTAGAAAATTTATGAGTTTAAAAAATGGATAAGGCTGGCCTATAAATCTAGGTTCAAGGGTAAACACAGTTAATTTGGTATATATGTTTTTTCAAACTTTTGTTTTATGCAAACTTTTTTTTTGTGAGACACAGTCTCACTCTTTAGCCCAGTCTAGAGTGCAGTGGCCCAACCTCGGCTCACTGCAACCTCTACCTCCTGGGTTCAATCGATTCTCTTGACTCGGTCTCCTGTGTAGCTGGAATTACAGGTGCATGCCACCACACCCGGCTAATTTTTTTTTAGTAGAGATGGGGTTTCACCATGTTGGTCAGGTTGGTCTCGAACTCCTGATGTCAGGTGATCCACGCACCTTGGTCTCCCAAAGTGCTGGATTATGGATGTGAGCCAATGTACCAAGCTGCACACTTATTTTTGAGTAAGATCTTGTAAACTAGGGTTACACTGTTAGTATCATGCTTTGTTTACATGCCAGTATATTATCAATATCTTTTAACATCACTAAATTTCTTCTAAACCTAATTTTCATGATATTAATATTCAGTCATTTCACTTATTCCATAACTTCCTTAAGGTTTCTTACAAGTAAAAATACAAGTAATAGAGTTCATTTCATATTCATGTGTAATAACAAGTTACAATTGTTATTGTAATATGTAACAATGATAACATATTACAACTTGTTGTTTTAAGTATGTAACAAACCTAGAACAGTGCCTTCTTTGTAGTGGCAGGTATTATATGGCCTAGTATAGCAGTCAACCTTTATCCCCAACCTTTTGGCACCAGGGATTGGTTTTGTTGAAGGTAATTTTTCCACAGATAGGGAGGTAGGGGGGTTGGATTCGGGATGAAACTGTTTTACTTCAGATCATCAGGCATTAGATACTCACAGGGAGCATGCAACCTAGATCCCTCACATACACAGTTCACAATAGGGTTTGGGCTTCTGTGAAATCTGATGCCACCACTGATCTGACAGGAGGTGGAGCTCAGGCAGTAATGCTCACTTACCAGCTGCTCAGCTCCTGCTGTGCAGCCTAGTTCCCTGGTTCCTAATAGGCCACAGACCGATACTGGTTTGTGGCCCTGGGGTTGGGGATCCCTGGCCTGGTAGCAAACTATAATTACTTCCTTAGGACAAGTTTCTGGAAATGAATCACTGGATTAAAGAACATGTACATTTTTATGGCTTCCTAATAATAGTCTACTTGGCCAAAACAGACAGACTGAGTACAAATATTCAAGGACAAAAATAATACCTCCGACAATAGTTAAGCCCTCGGCATTACATCAAACACTTTCCAGTGACTAAAGCAGAGAAAGTTTAATAAACAAAAGAGAAGAAATATTTTCAGTCACAATTTAATATTTCCCATTTATATTTGCTACTATAGTTCTATTCATACCAACACAATTGTAAACTTACCATTGAATTAAGCTATTTTCCAACGTCTCTTTTCTCTCAATTACTTTATCCAGAATATCAGCTGTGGGCTGAAAAGTAGAAGCAACTGGCGGAAATGGAGGACCATTATATTTTGTAGAATCAGCTTTAATGCTTCTGTTAAACTCCAGAATTGGTTCAGAGTCTGGAATTTCATCACATTTTTCCTCTTCCTGGTAGTAATAAAAACAAAACTATTCTTGTATTTGTTCAAGATTTACTGAGTACCAATCACAGGCAAGGAACTAGGTGAAATAACCAACACTGCTAAATTAACCAACAGCATTTCTAATTAGGTGGTATCACATTAGTTACAACATACACATTAGTCATACATATCATATTGAAGAATCCTTAATTATATAATCAGTTTGTCTTTTTAGAACCCAATATTCATTGAATGCAATCGTAAAATAAACCAAAAAACGTAATTAATCCTAGATAAAAAACTATCAACGTTTCTCTCTAGAGGTGTATGAACTTAATAATTATCATTAAAAAATTGATGCATCCTGATATGGTTTGGTTATTTGTCCCCTCCAAATCTCATGTTGAAATGTGATCCCCAGTGTCCAAGATGGGGCCTGGTGGCCGGTGCGTGGGTCATAGGGGTGGATCCCTCATGAATGGCTTGGTGCCCTCCCCATAGTAATAAGTTAGTTCATGCGGAGCTGGTTGTTTAAAGGACACTGGCACATCCTCCTCTCTCTCTTACTCCCTCTCTTGCTTTGTGACACACCTGTTCCCTCACAGCCCTCTACCTGAGTAAAAGTTTCCATGAGCCAATTACATCTCTTTTCTTTTCTTTCTTTCTTTTTTTTTCAGACAGTTTCCGTCTTTTCACCCAGGCTGGAGTGCAATGCCATGATCTTGGCTCACTACAACCTCCACCTCCTGGGTTCAAGTAATTCTCCTGTCCCAGCCTCCTGAGTAGCTGGGATTATAAGTACCCACCACCACCCCCAGCTAACTGTCGTATTTTTAAGTAGAGACAGGGTTTCACTATGTTGGCCAGGCTGGTCCTAAACTCCTGACCTCAGGTAATCCACCCGCCTTGGCCCCCCAAAGTCCTGGGATCACAGGCATGAACCACCTCGCCTGGCCTTAAATCTTTCCTTATAAATTACCCAGTAATTCCTTTATAATAATGCAAAATGGACTAATACACTTCCAAAATCACTTTTTGCTCTTATACAACTTATAACCTACATTTAAGTATGCAATTAGGTCAGTCACCTGACAAATTATCTGCATTACCACATCATAATCAATAACGTTATTTCTGCAATTGTTAAATTTTTTATTACAAAAAATATCATGTGTTTAAACAAATAGTGTCTATGTAATGTGTCTGTTATATAAATAACATGAATTGCATTTATCTGCTCCCCAACATTAACAATTATCAACTCATGGTCAGTCTTGTCTCATCTAGCCACTCTCCCCTTCACATAGCGTTTTTTTTTTTTTTTTTTTTTTTTGAGACGGAGTTTTGCTCTTGTTACCCAGGCTGGAGTGCAATGGCGCGATCTCGGCTCACCACAACCTCCGCCTCCTGGTTTCAGTCAATTCTCCTGCCTCAGCCTCCTGAGTAGCTGGGATTACAGACACGCGCCACCATGCCCAGCTAATTTTTTGTATTTTTAGTAGAGACGGGGTTTCACCATGTTGACCAGGATGGTCTCGATCTCTTGACCTCGTGATCCACCCGCCTCGGCCTCCCAAAGTGCTGGGATTACAGGCTTGAGCCACCATGCCCGGCCTCACATATCATTTTAAAGTAAAACACAGAAATCATATCATTTTATCTATAAATAATTCAATCAAAAACACTTTGGTATCTCTAAATACTGTAACTCAGTAATATTATCTCATTGAAAAATGAAGTCTACAGCTAATAAATGGCAAAGCTACTACAGGAACACTTGTCTTTGAATGCTAAATCCTTGCTACTGCTATAACTGTTTCCTTCACTTGTATATTAGATAAACAATTACCAAGTACCTTTGCTAGGCATTAGGAATATATAACTAAGGTCCCTGCCTTCAAAATTCTCATGTGGCACTCACATGAGAAAAGACATACTTGTGAGCAAATAACATTAATATACTGTACACCTCTTCATATTCTAAAACTGGAGTTCATTTTATGATTAACAAAACTGGCCTTTGCTCTAAAAGTCAAAGAAACATGAACAAATGTCTTCTTTAAAGTCTACTGACATAATATTCAAGTAGTTTCAATGTTCTATGATTTTGTCTCCCATCCTTTATAATTTAATTCTGCCTATTTTTTCCCTCTATTTCATTATTTCTCTCATTTCTATAACTCTTTGTTCTATATGGGATCTTCCTCTGGATTATAGATTCCTCACAACTTTTTTTCTCAATATAAATTAATTGGTCGCCTCATCATGAATCCAAAAATCACAATAGATAAATGCAATAGAATGAAGAAAAGACAAATTGAAAGAAAAGAAGCCAAAGGAAGCGGGAAGAAAGAAGAAAGCAGAAAACAGCAGAGACAAAATCTAGGTGGGAAACAGCAGACAACCATGAAGTTTCATGAAGGCAGATAGGTGATATAGATGAAAGACAATACTGCGTTCTAGAATAACAACTTTATAATTTTTAAAATAAAAGTATATTTAACTCAAAAGTAAAAGAAGGTACCTAAAAGCACTGCAACAAAATATTAATAGTCAAAAGATCATCAACAACCTGGAAAAATACCAGTAGAAAATAATTTCTCATAGTTTCTAAGCTTTGTTACCTGTATGACATCGATTACTTCATCAAAGTTAGTTCCTGGAAATTTCACCTCTTCTTCATCTATCTTCACAATTTCTGGAGTCTAAAGAAAGCATTTTCAGAAAGTTCTTGTTGTGCTTAATGCTTTTAAAATTTATAAGTAATTTATCATCTTTCCACCTATAATCTTATAATTACATGGTCCTTTTTTTAAATTTTATTACCCTATTCAGAATTGATTTAACTTGTAAACGAAATCCAAGCTAGTCCCCAAGCCATTAGGTCACCATTTCAATAGCTATAAAAAATCAATCAGCCATTTTTCTGTAAAAAAAAACTCTACCAGTAATATAACTTAACTGATCAACAGATTGATAGAATTGAGACTTCTCTTCTAGAATTAAGAGAAAGACAAGTGTTTACATGTGTAGATATCTAAGTATACACATATACAAACTCACACAAAGACAGATACAAAATAAAATAATTCAGGAAAATAAACAAAATAATCATTTAAAAAAATCTAACCTTTAGGCCTTACTATATATAGTCACGCAATAGCCTCTTACTGACAGCAGAATGTCTTATTGAGAACAGAATGATAAACAGCCCAAAAATTTATTACTTGTTATCATAGAAGTTTCAATAAACTTCTGGTTTATTGAAAATTACTGATGAAAAATTCAATTAAGCACAAATGTCACTTAGGGTCAGTTCTATTTCTTTTCTGGCTTTTTTTTTTTTTTTTTTTTAAGATGGAGTCTCGCTCTGTTGCCAGGCTGGAGGGCAGTGGCGTGATCTTTGATCATTGCAACCTCTACCTCCTGAGTTCAAGCGATTCTCCTGCCTCAGCCTCCTGAACAGCTGGGACTATAGGCGCACGCCACCATGCCCAGATAATTTTTGTATTTTTAGTAGAGATGGGATTTCACCATGTTGGCTAGGATGGTGTTGATTTCTTGACCTTGTGATCGGCCCTCCTCAGCCTTTCAAAGTGCTGGGATTACAGGCATGAGCCACTTCGACCAGCCCAGGGTCAGTTCTATTTCATTACTTGTGATCATGAGAGATTGCTGGTGTTCTCTCTGCTTTTAAAACTGTATCCTCGATGACTAAATTTGCTTACAATAAACAAAATTTGAGGTAAGTTACATTGCTATTTTGCTGTGTAGTAAAACCATAGCTTCATTATTCAAAAGCAAATAAATACCACGAAGAAATGCATATAACAAGGTAACATTCCAAAATATAAACTCCAATTGTCATTATAAAATTCACATTTAGGAAATCTATAATTCCCATGTAAATCAACGATTCATCACCAAAGAGAAATTTTTTCTTCACATGAGGGTTTCACAACTTGAATCACCAAAACATTACACTAAAGAGTATCACTTTCCAAACAGTTATAAATGTAAGAATCTGAAACAAACTTTCAAATTCATAAACAATTCAAAATTTGTTTTGGGCTGGGCATGGTGGTTCACGCCTATAATCCCAAAACTTTGGGAGGCTAAGGCAGGGGGATCACTTGAGGTCAGGAGTTCAAGACCAGCCTGGCCAACAAGATGAAACCCTGTCTCTACTAAAAATACAAAAATTAGCCAGGTGTGGTGGCAGCTGCCTGTAATCCCAGCTACTTGGGAGGCTGAGGCAGGAGAATTGCTTGAACCTAGAGGCAGAGGTTATAGTGAGACAAGATCATGTCACTGTACTTAAGCCTGGGTGACTGAGCAAGACTCTGTCTAAAAAAAATAAAATTAAAATAAAAATTTGTTTTTAATCCTTTCCTCAAAATCTAAATTTTTATAATAAATTATCTTATGATAAAATGCTTTAAATGGAGTAACATTAGTTAAAATCTACAATCAGATGTTACTCAAAACAATATGATAAAATTCTGAAATATACCTTTATCCAAGTTTGCACAGGAGGAAGAGATGCTTCCTTGGGACTAGGCAGAGGTGAACTAACATCAGCACTACCATTTGAAATGCTGTCGATATCTACGCTGGGCAATACCTAAAACAGAATACAACATTTAGTTTTCTGGTTATCATTTTTACTCAAACATTTTTATGTGGATGTTTATATATATGTATATGTATGTGTATATATATACATGAAGTAAATATATATATGATGCTTTGTTTTTATGTATATATGTAGGTATACATACATGTATACATGTATGTATACATAAAAACAAAGCATACCCTTTAAGTTTTTGTTGTGAAGCCAATGGATAACAAACTTTTTAAATTATGAAAGCATATTTTACAAAATGTGAAAAATAAAGAGTAAATACACAAAATTCTATCTTAAGATAACTTCATTTTCACTATTCCCTTCATCTTTTACTATCTACTTATACATAACTCAAATTTAAAATAGTTTTCATTCGGCCGTGCCTGGTGGCTCACGCCTGTAACTCCAGCACTTTGGGAGGCCAAGGCAGGCAGATCACTAGGTCAGGAGATCAAGACCATCCTGGCTAACACAGTGAAATCCATCTCTACTAAAAATACAAAAAATTAGCCGGGTGTGGTGGCACACACCTGTAGTCCAAGCTATTCAGGAGGCTGAGGCAGGAGAATCACTTGAACCTGGGAGGCGGAGGTTGCAGTGAGCTGAGATCATGCCACTGCACTCCAGTCTGGGTGACAGAGTGAGACTCGTTTCCAAACAAAAAAATAGTTTTCATTCTTGATTTTTCATTGTGATTACAATGAAGAACCATAAATACTTTATCATACTTTTGTACAGACTTCATAATTATATTTTTAAATGACTATATAACATTTCAATAAACACACATCTTAATTATTTAATTATGTTCCATTTGGAAATTTTTCCATTTTTTTCTACTATCATTCATATATATATATGATAGTAGGAAAATATATATATATCACTGCAAAATATATGTATCACTACAAAAAAACTTCAAATACACACACACACACGCACACACACACGCACACACACACAGAGTTTTCCTCCTAAACTCTAAATTAATTCACTATGCTACATAGACAGATACTGGATTAACTTTCTGAGCTACAGGACACGAATACTTAAGATTCTTGGAATTACTGGTGAAATGTAATCCAAAAAGCCTCTATTTACATCATCAAAAACATAATTAATTCTAAGTTTTATCCAACCCACACCAAATTAGATAATATGATTGTTTCAGCAATAATAGTTTTTAAATGGAAGCATATTATTATTTTAATTTGCATTATCTTGGTTACTGGCAAAATTTATTCATTTTGCTTGCTGATAAATTGTACTTCCTATTTTGTAGAGACTTATTCATGGCCTTTGAATATTTCTGGATTGAATCTATGTGTTTTCTTATTAATATATGGAGATCTTTATATTTAAAAATTAATGCTTTACTAGCATCTTCTTTTTATAAGTTCTTACTGTGTACTGCTTGCCTTTTAATTAAGGATTTTCCCCACCCGATCTGGATTCCTCTCTGACTGTGCTAGTGATGCTCATTCATTCAATACACATCGACTGAGTTTGCACTTGACTCAGGAAGCTGTCCAGGCTCAAGTGTCCCTAAGTCTCCCAAAGCCTCCACCGCTGCCACACGGCTAGGTTAGTGAGCCTGCACTGTTAGAAGGATGGCCAGACTGCTGAAGTGAGGAAGAAATTTGGGTTCATGTTAAGAGTTTCCTGCCCTGCAAGAATGACTGGGAGCTGAAGGGTTCTACTGTATGCCAGGGTTTTACTGTACATTTGCTCCTATCAAGCACAGGGCAAGGAGTCTTCCTGAGACCCACTAACTGCCTCAACCCTAGCAACATAGCTGTGAAAACATATTGTCAATTTTAGCTGCAGGGTAGAAGTCACTCTATGAGAATGAAGAATCGGTGGAGCTCCACGGGAGATTTCTAAGTCTCTGGGAACCTCTCAGGCTGGTGGGTTGAGGCTGTTCTGTATAAAATTGTGCAGGTAGAAATGGATGTTTCATTTGTTCAGGGAGCAGTGTGCAGTAAAAAATCAGTACTAAAAGTCTGTTGACTGTTCATATGGTGGCATTTGACAGCTCCAGGATTATCTTCTCCTCAGTGGTCAGGATCCAAGAATGAGGCAAGTCTCTCTTCCCAGAGGGCATACTAAGTTGCCCAAGAAAACTCATTTGTCCTGGCTCAATCACGATAAAAGAACCCTGGAGCAGTCTAAGGACTGGAGTGTTCTAATTACTTGTAAGTAACTAAGAATGGTAAGGTGAACACAGGGTTGGAGTAAATTAGCCAAAAAGTTTACCATGGTTCATGAACACTTTCTTATATATGCCTCCTGACTGGTCAATAGAATATCACATGTAAACACTCATGCTCATTTTTGTCCAGACCTAGTGAAGACCTCAGCTTCTACAGCTGGATCCCAGGCCGATGGGTAGATGTTTGAATGTGGAAGTCAAAGGGTTTCTTCCCACATGAGCCTGTTTACATCTTGTATTCATTCAAGTCTTCTAACATATGTTAGTGTAAAGTTTCAAGTATTAATTATATAAGTCACAAACACTAACTTTTAAAAATTAATTATAATACACAGTTCAACTGTTCCCTTTGGAATATTATCAAGCCACTTGTAATAAGTCATTGGCCTAGAAGAATAGCTTAAATCATCCAAAACAGGATAGAGACATCACATTAATATCATAGTTTTAAAAATAAAGGAACCAGCCGGGCACAGTGGCTCACACCTGTAATCCCAGCACTTTGGGAGGCCACGGTGGGTGGATCACCTGAGGTGAGGAACTCGAGACAAGCCTGGCCAACATGTGAAATCCCATCTCTACTAAAGGAAATACAAAAAATCAGCTGGGCGTGGTGGCGAGCACCTATAATCCCAGATACTCAGGAGTCTGAGGCAGGAGAATCACTTGAACCCAGGAGGTGGAGGTTGCAGTGATCCAAGATCACGCCATTGCACTCTAGCCTGGGTGACAAGAGCGAAACTCCATCTAAAAAATAAAAATAAAAAAAAGTAAAGGAGCCATGATGAAAGCAGTATTTTCATGAAGCATTAAAATGAATTTCACTACTAATGTTAAGCAAAAAAATTTTTTCTTCCTTAAAATTTTCTATTCACACAGCCTGGCATACCTGTACAGTAAGCCGAGGAGGATCCTTTTTTTCTGACTTCATTTCTACAACAGCTATGTTAGGTTTCTTTACTCCAGTTTCTATTTTTCGAGATGATGGAGGAATAGAAGTAGTCACAGTTACAGGGTGTGGCTTGCTGACAATCACTCCAGCAGGTGGCATAGAATCACTATTACTTTGGGTTTGTCCTAAGAAGTTTAGGGGAAAAAATAAGTTAACTAGTTCAGAAAAAAAAGAGAAATGTCTAATACACCACCTGGATCTTAATGGCTATATTCTGATACAAAAAACAAGTCCTATCTGACAATCACCTCTCTCTCCATCATCAGCATTATCGACACATTCACCATATCCAGCGACTTTTACTAGGGAGTTATATGTACTAACACTTTACATCACTAACTAACTTAATCCTCAAAATAAAGGCTAATATAAAGCTATTAATACTATCCACATTTTAAAATGTCAAAAACTTTCACTTGCAAAGTCCTACTTGTTTTCTACATATCAAAGTAAAAAGGGGTAGTACAGTGTACTTGTTGAAAACACAGACTATAAAGCCAGACTGCCTCTGCCTGGGTTTGAATCCTGATGCCATTCCTGTTGTGTGACCTTTGACAAATTATGCAACTCCTCTGTGCTTCAGTTTCTTTAGCTATATAATTTGTATATTACCATGTGCTTTATAGGGTGGATTAAATGAGAGAATATATGGAAAGTCCTCAGAACTGTACCTGGTACATAGTAAGGACATTAAAAGTGTTAGCTATTTTATTACTAGAAGATATGTTTAAACAGAGAGCTACTATGTTGACACGCCATTAACCCATAATTTCAAAAATAAAAAATTATCTTATGTTAAAAAATATTCATACTTAAATCATTAATCAAAACAAAAGAATAGCAATGACACTAAAAGGAAAAAAAAAGAGCTAATTAGACTTGAAGAGCTGGTGTGAGGACAAAAATGTTCTGTTTAATTTTTAACATGACAACTCAGAGAATGCAAATAAGTAAATAAACAACCATTGGCTTAGATTACACACCCACACAGCTTTCACTATGATAGCCTAGTTCAAAAGTACAAAAAAGTACATGAATACTTCCCCAAAGACATATGGTATTAACAAGCCAATCAGACTTCTTGAATTATCATCAATGTCTATGATATATTTAAACTTTTCTTTTAAGAGACAGGGTCTTGCTCTGCTGTCTAGGCTGGAGTACAATGGCATAATCATCATTTACTGCAGCCTCAAACTCCTGGCCTAGGCTAAAGGGATTGTCCTGCTTCAGCCTCCAGAGTACCTGGGACTACAGGGTATTCCACCAAGCCCAGATAATTTTTTTTTTTTAAGAGACAAAGTCTTGCTATGTTGCTTGGGCTGGTCTCAAACTCCTGGTCTCAAGCAATCCTCCCATCTCAGCTTCCCAAAGTGCTGTGATTAAAGGCATGAGCCACTGTGCCCAGCCAAAACATTTTTTAAAACTTCATTTCATCTACAATAATATACTATAACCTATCAAAAGAACGCTTCCTGTTCGTGAAACTAAAGCAGGTACCCACCATTTCAGAGACTGCTATTACACAGCATAAAATACACTCTGAGACCCTCCCTACAAAAACAAACAACATTTACAGGAAAAGGCAGGTGACTATCATGTTAGTACCATCTTGTAAGTTCTGCTACCGCTGATTAAGAACTTAAAATTCACAGGCTGGGCACGGTGGCTCACGCCTGTAATCTCAGCACTTTGAGAGGTTGAGGTAGGCAAATGGCTTGAGTCCAGGAGTTCCAGACCAGCCTGAGCCACATAGCAAAATCCTGTCTCTAATAAATAAACAAACAAATAAATAAACAAAATTCATCCCACATATTTTGTTGGGTCTTACCTAAAAGAATTGCCATAGGAATCAGATGACCTTCTAGTGTACCTGAAAAAGTAGGCATTTCTCTACTTGGGCTGAACAAATACTGCTGATCGCCATGAGGTAACACAGGAATGGAATGTTTCGTTTTAGATTCCATCTTTATAGGTTTTGTTGCATAGAAGTCAGTCTGTGTTCTTATTGACTTTACTTTAGTGCCTATAATAATTAACAATGGCACACATTTTAAAATATTGTTAAAATATCTACTATCCAGCCATCTAGAAATGCAATAGCTCTTCACAGAAAAATCCCAATTCTATATTTGAAGTTACAGGGCCCCAAAACAGAAGTAATATATAGATCAGAGGTGCCAAACTCCTTAAATGGCCAGATAGTAAATATTTCAGTCTGGCAGGCCACGTAATCTCAGCTGTAATGACTCAGTTCTGCTGTTGTATCATGACAGAAGCCATGGACAATATTTAAATGAAGGAACACAGTTACATGCAAATAAAACTTTATAAAAATAGTCAGCTCACCTGTAGGCCGTAGTTACCAGTCCCTGAATAGATAGATAAACAACTTGTACAGCTACTATGACAAAATAGATACAACTAGAAAAAAATGTTAAAGATTCTAAAGAATATTCAGACAATGTTTGAATTCATTAAATGTTTTTCCATAGGTACAAAAAAGTTAATGATCATTTTTGGAACTGGATGATTTTCATTTTTTCCTTACACCTTTATACATAACATAATTCTGAATAACCAGCCTTTATATTTAAAAATTATGTACAGATAATCTAATTCTATACTTACCTAAACCTTATGAATTAATATTGTTATATAGTAGGCCCTCCTTATCTGTAGTTTCTCTTTCCCTGTCTCAGTTACCTGCGGTCAACCTTGGTAGGAAAATATCAAATGGAAAATTCGAGAAATAAATAATTCATAAGTTTTTAAAAATTATTATTATTATTTTTTGAGATGGAGTCTTACTCCACCCAGGCTGGAGTGCAGTGGTGTGATCTCAGCTCACTGTAACCTCTGCCTGCCAGGCTCAAGTGATCCTCCCACCTCAGCCTCCAGAGTAGATAAGACCACAGATGCACACCAGCATGCCCAGCTAAGTCATAAGTTTTACATTGCATGTTATTCTGAGTAGCACAATAAAGTCTCGTGTCATCCTGCTCCATCCTGCCCAGGACATGAATCTTCCCTTTGTCCAGGGTATCTACACTGTAGACACCACATGGCCATTAAAAACTTAGTTGCCATCTCAATTATCAGACTAAAAAACACAGTAGATGTTATAGCTCGGTACTATCCATTGCTTTAGGCATCCATTGAGGGTACTGGAACATATTCCCCATGAATAAGGGAAGACTACTGTACACTTTTTTCTGTTCCTATGATGTATACATTTGTATGTTGCCATTATATCCTAAATCATAAAAAATAAAAAATATGACTTTATGCCTTTGGAGAAGTGAATAAATATCTATGGAACACACAAAAAAAGTGAATAAAAGAACAAAGTAAAAGGGCAAAGGAAAAGAGGCCAAAACATTTTCTAAATAATTTCCTGACACTGTATTTTTACTTTTAACATGTAGGTGCTTTTTTTTTAAATGCAGAAACCCCCAAAGTTTTAGTGTTTAATAATTAATAGCACAACTGACCAAGGTCCAAGATGTGAAGATACCATGTTCAAGAAACTGGAGGGTAAAGTGCTCTATAAACTGACTATATAGTATGTGATATGAAAGCACATTTTATAATATAAAACCTGTCTACACATAGTATTTAACTGCAAAAAGCCATTCAATCTTCTCTTGGCTTGGAAAAATGGTGTTCCAAATTCCAGTATAAATTATTAGCAACCCTTAACTCTCTTTTTGTTGCAGATATCTTGTTTTCACCTTCCAGTTCTTCCATTTAAGTCTGTGTCATGAGGTCTGTGATGTTCTTCTCCAGGTTATCAATTCTCCTAATGATCTGGTGAGACACGGTCTGAAATTTATCTTGCATCTGCTGCAGGAGTGTCTTCACCACTGAGGTGAGGTCCTGCACGGTCTTGGAGTCAGTCTCGACCACCTACCCAGTACCCAGCTTGGTGGTGATGTCTCAGACCATCACCTACACTTCCATTTCACATGTGTGTGTTTTTATTTATTTAATTTTTGTTTTACAGAGACAAGCTCTTGCTCAGTTGCTCAGGCAGGAGTGCAGTGGCACTATCATAGCTCACTACAACCTTGAATTCCGAGGCTCAAGTGCTAAAGCAATCCTCCCACCTCAGCCTCCCAAGTAGCTGGGACTACAGGCACACCCTGCTAGTATTTTAAATGTATTGTAGAGATGGGATCTAGCTAGGTTACCAAGGCTGGTCTTGAATTCTAGGTCTCAAGCAATCCTCATGCCTCAGCTGCCCAAAGTGGTAGGATTACAGGCATGAGGCACTATGCCCAACCTATATATCTAGACTTTTAAATATAGGTTCCTTTTGTTTATGATCCCAGGAAGAAAAATTTTAGTACCATGTCTATATTCTTTCATCTTGTTTTCTGATACTCATTCATTCTATTAAATGAATATTTTCCTTGAGGGTTTATTTAAAATGTTTTTTCAGCATTGTTTCAGGCACAAGGAACACAGAGGTGATTAAACCAACTGTACTCATGGAGTTTACAGTCTAGTAGTGACAAATAAATAAATAATAAAACAAAGAAACAAAAATATAACACAAGAAGTGTGAAGTGCTATGAAGAACAATATGGCAGGGTAAGGAGATAAAGAGGAACAGTAGATAAGTCTTTGAATAGAATGGTCAGGGTAGATCTCTCTAGGGAGCTAACATCTAAGAGCAGAGATGGAAGAACTGAGAGAGAGAACCATGCAACTGTTTGAACGAAGAGCTCTCCAGACAGAGGAAATGGCAGGTACTGAGGCTCTAGGATGAGCATAAGTCCTTAGGTTCTGATATGGCTTGGCTCTGCGTCCCTACCCAAATCTCGTCTCAAACTGATCCCCATGTGTCACAGGAGAGACTTGATGGTAGTTGACTGCATCATGGGGACAGTTTCCCCTAATCTGTTCTTGTGATAGTGAGTTCTCATGAGATCTGATTAAAAGGGCATGGCTTTCTATGCTCCCTCTCTCCTGATGCCATGTAAAACGTGCCTTGCTTCCCTTCTGCCATGACTGTAAGTTTCCTGAGGCCTCCCCAGCAAAGTGGAACTGTGAGTCAATTCCACCTTTTTTTCTTTATAAATTACCCAGTCTCAGAAAGTTCTTTATCGCAGTGTGAAAATGGACTAATACAGGCTCTCAATCACTTCTGACCATTAAAAGGGTTACTGAATAAAGCTATTTTCAGATCTGAAAGCATTTTAAAATCTCAAATTATTTTTTGCAAAGACTTTCAAAATCCCACATGTAAATTACTAGCAAAGCTACACTAGGCCAGGCACGGTGGCTCATGCCTATAATCCCAGTATTTTGGAAGGCCAAGGTGGGTGGGTCACCTGAGGGCAGGAGTTCAAGCAGCCTCGCCAATATTGCGAAACCCCGTCTCTAATAAAAATACAAAAAAAATTAGCCAGGCATCATGGCACATCCCTGTAATCCCAGCTACTCAGGAAGCTGAGACAGGAGAATCGCTTGAACCCTGGAGGCAGAGGTTGCAGTGAGCTGAGATCACGCCACTGCACTCCAGCCCAGGTGACAGAGGAAGACTCCATCTAAAAAAAAAAAAAAAATAGCAAGGCTACACTAAATAAGAGAAAACTTTAGGGTAAATATTATCCATTAGGATAAATATCACCCATAAGCTATATGCTTTCCATTTTAAAATAATAGAAGTAAAATTTCTATTTAACCTGACACTCTGTATGATTACATAACCTTTAGAAAGGAAAGGGAACCAAAGTAACAATGATAGCACCAACTTCTAGAAAGGATAAGAGAGGAAAACGGGTGTGTGTCTACTAGATATCACATATTGTGAACTGTAGCTTACTGACTGCTAAGTAGAAGCCGATAAACTATAGTACATAACCGAAGTTAACAGACTCAGTATATAACCAAGAGTTATACTTAAATATACAGTACCAGTGAAACAGTAGATGTGACTCAAAACACACAGTGATAAATGAAGATGTTTTCAGTTGTGCACAAAAGCAACAAAAAACGTTTTCACTTTTCTACCTAAGTCTCTTTTAAAACAAAACTGCAAAAGTGCCCATCAACACTTTTATGACAATGAACAGCATATGGCTGATCTTTCTGTTCATAAGAACATAAAGGACCAAGGTCTTTAGGGAAATGTCTAGATTATAATTTAGATGCTGAAGCTTCACCATCACCCAGCCTACGCAATATGGCGAAACCCTGTCTCTACAAAAAATACAAAAAAATTAGCCACGTGTGATGGTGTTTGCCTGTCGTCCCAGCTACTTGGGAGGCTGAGGGAGGATCACTTGAGCCCAGTATGTCAAGGCTGCAGTGAACTGTGATTGCACCATTGCAATCCAGCCTGGGGGATAGAATGAGACTCTGTCTCAAATCTCCTAAATAAAACTTTTATGATGCTTTTTCTGAAGATGCCATTTAATCCTACATTACTTCCCAATTATTCCTATCTTGTGTATAATTTTTAAGTTTTAGCCTATTTCTTCCTACCTCTGCTAACAGGAATTATTTTTCATCCCCAAGCATTATATAATTTTAACTGCATTTATAAGTAATAAATAAAAAGCAAAAATAAACTTTACATGTTAAACTGATACTACTAAGAAGTGAGAGTAAACACAAAATATGAGATTTCTTACCTTTAACTCGTTCTATTACTTTTGGTCTCTGTGGTTTGGACTTAGGAGATGGAGAATTAAATCTGAGATATGGTCCTTTTTTAAGAGTGCTTCGATGGCCCTGATAAACTGGCTTTCCATAGACTTGAAACATATAATCTTCATCTTGAATGACTGTGGATGCTTTCAAAAGCCCCTATGTGTATAAAGTTATTCAACTCACCATGAAAATAGTCATCAAACATTTTATCTCATTTTTCTAAAGCCACCTTTTGCTAGTTTAAGTACCATAATAAGAATGATCAGGTCAAAAATAACCTCTATTTTAAACAGCCCTTAAATTCTAGATATAGATTTCAAGCATTAATTTGAAAAGCTTTAAATATAAAAATCATCCACCTAAGAAACATGAAAACTTTTATCTTACTAAGTGTATTTTAAGCACCAAAGAGAAACATTTAAATACATTTTATATATTTATTATGTTCAAGTACAATAAAAATACAATAACCTTAACTTTTAAATAATTTTGCATATTCCTGAACCCACCTTCAACCATAATCTAAATGTCACAGAAAGGTAGCATTTACTGAGCATCTACTAAGTGCCAAGGATTGAATTAGATACTTTGCTGATCTTCTCAACAATCCATATTTGGCACTAAGAAAGTTATAGCCTAGTTAGAGCAGTCAAAAAAATTTCCTCCATACGATCTAGTACCATGGCTTGCATATACTAGGCACTAAACATGCATTTGTTATACTGAAAAAATAAACTATACACACACATGCACACACACGCGCACACACACACAAATGAAACACAATTTTGAGTACCATCAACTAGAGAATCCAGTTTTTGGTCTAGATGATCTCTAGGTACACCTGCTTTAACTACGAACTACGATACGAGGGTGTGAGGTCTCAGAAGAAAGGAACTATCTATTTTGTTCAGTGCTTTTCACATTATAAATCCAAAACTCTAAATATCAATAGTGTAAAAACAGCCTACATTTGTATAGTCCTTCATATTTTAAAACACCATCACATTTGCTTCATTATCTCTTAAGGGAAATGATCGATTTTAACACAACAATCACGTTAAAAGAACAGATTAGGATCTTACTTCTTTTCTCTCTCTCTGTATACTTGCAGCAGGCATGCCCCTCATAGGTAGATTTCTAAAACGCTCTTCTATTTGCTTTTGAGAATGTTTTCTTGGAATTACGGATTTGTTTACAGTTTTATCTTGTGTGTTGGTTCTAATATCTTTAGTCATATTGTGAGCTTTCTTGGTCCTCTGATTCTTCTGATCAAATCTTTTTTGTTCATAATCTGTTCTTGACAGTTCATCCTTAATACAACCAAAGTTAAAATTACTTAAAATACATCCAAATAGTAATGCTTTCACATCAGAAAGTATTAGAATTTATTTTTTGCTGTTATGTAAATACAGTTTAGCAGTTTTAAATGTGTTAAAAATAAAGGATATTGGCTTTATTGGGTATATAAAAATAAAAATTCTCTGGAAAAATAAACAAAACCTTAAAAAGACTAGTATCTTCTGAAGCAGGGAGAATGGAAAATAATAGAAGGGTTGTAGGGGTAGGAGGACAACTCTGAGTGACAAATCTTTCTACACTTTTTGATGCTTGAACCAAATGAATTTTGTCAACAATTTAAAAAGTAAAATATATGTTTCAAAAAAAGTAAACAATTTCGTAATAAACCTCTGAGGTAAATATAAATTAAAATTATGTGAAAGTTTAAACAATCATATTTTACATGGAATTCATGGCAAAAGAGTGAGATATACTGCCAGTTGACTGTAGAGCCAAAACTAGATTCCAAATCTTCTGATTCTTAGTTCAACATTTTTGTGTGTGTCAATCTTATAGTACCTAAAATAAATTTTTCACACCTTCATTACAAATATATATTCTTGGCCGGGCGCGGTGGCTCAAACCTGTAATCCCAGCACTTTGGCAGGCCGAGACGGGTGGATCACGAGGTCAAGAGATCGAGACCATCCTGGTCAACATGGTGAAACCTTGCCTCTACCAAAAATACAGAAAAATTAGCTGGGCATGGTGGCGCGTGCCTGTAATCCCAGCTACTCAGGAGGCTGAGGCAGGAGAATTGCCTGAACCCAGGAGGTGGAGGTTGCGGTGAGCTGAGATCACGCCACTGCACTCCAGCCTGGGTAACAAGAGTGAAACTCCATCTCAAAAAAAAAAAAAGGCCGGGCGCGGTGGCTCACACCTGTAATCCAAGTACTTTGGAAGCCAAGGCGGGTGGATCACCTGAGGTTGGGAGTTCAAGACCAGCCCAACCAACATGGTGAAACCTCATCTTAAAAAAAAAAAAAAAAAAAAGCAATATATATTCTTAAACAACAAAGTTTCAAAATATATTTCTGTGTTTACTGCTGGGAAGCAGTACTGATACTTCACCTTGCTACCATTGTGAGTAGCATATAAGCACATCTACAGTTTAAAAAAAAAAACACACCTTGCACTCAGCTTAACCTGTCTAGTTCAGTTCACTCAAATATATAAATTTTTAAAATTTCCTAAGAAAGATAATTCCCAGACCTTCACAATGCTGGATGTTTGAAGATGTACATTCCTATTGTGGATGTGAGAAAGAGGCTGTTTTTCCATCTGGGACTGACTTCTGTAAACTTAGTAAATCTAGTTTTTTTCTCTTTGCATAACTCTGGTACTTTCATTTTGGCAAGCCAATGCTTCTAAATCTGCTGTTTTAAAATATCTTTGCAAGTATAATTCTTCTTCCAAAGACTTTCGCTAAATTTTCTTTCAGATTATTCATGTTTTATTGTCCAACAATTTGCCAAATTAAGAGCCATAATATAATATGAGATGAAGTGCTTGTTAAAACTAAACTTATTACTAAGTAAATATAAAGAGTGACAGTGAAATTAAAAATTATTTAAGTGGATTTTCATATAAGAAATATTTTAAAAACAAGTATAACACCTATAAATTGGAGTCAATGTTATCTTCTGAGAATTCATTTAAAAGTTTTTTCCAAGACATACCTGAATTTCTGCAGAAATAGTTTTAATCCACTCATCCACTGTCCTTCTGATCCTAATTTTCTCTGACATCTCTCTATAAAAGAGAAAAAGGAATTTTCTCAAATTAGCACTTAATGTCCCAAGCAGGACTTGGATCAGATCTAACTCTTATCTAGTTGTGAGCCTACTAGCCCAGGTGTCCCCAGACTTTTTACACAGGGGGCCAGTTCACTGTCCCTCAGACCATTGGAGGGCCGCCACATACTGTGCTCCTCTCACTGACCACCAATGAAAGAGGTGCCCCTTCCTGAAGTGCGGCCGGGGGAGGGAGGGTGCGGATAAATGGCCTCAGGGGGCCGCATGTGGCCCGCGGGCTGGGCCGTAGTTTGGGGACGCCTGGGCTAGCCTAATAACCTTCATCTGAAAAGGAAAGGATATTAGGAAAGTAGGATAGGGACCTAATATCCTTCACCTAAAAAGGAAAACCAATGGTACTAGTTTTCATCAAATATTTGAAACATAAATGTTTGAAAAACACATGTAGATCCAAGAAGGTATGTACCAAAGAAAGAAAAAGCTAAAAGAAAAATTTCCACCACAAAACAGTAGTACCACCATGTATATATCCAAATTCCAACTTTATAATAAGTTCTACATTTTCAAAGGCAATAAAGAACCTTTTAAAAAGTACTAGAACATTTTAAGCAAAATAAAGTGCTTAGAAAAAAATTAAGAAGTAGAACTGTCAGCCTCATAAATAATCTCGGATGCCAACATCCTCTTACCTGTTGGTAGATAAAGCATTGATAAGTGAATACATGGCAGCTCCATCTTTTGCACGAATAATAGCTTCCAGGTTTTCTTCAAGTACTTTTTTATTGTTTTGTACTCCTCTCAAAATCTTCTCAGCATCTTTCAATACAGATCTTGTTGTACTGGTTGTTTGAAGCTTAACAGAATTCTGTGGAAGATTTGCAAGCTTCAACATACTAAGAGATTCTTCTGGCTTAAAAGAAAAAAAGGCCAAAAGTTACTAAACTCACACTGATTCTTTTAATCGAAACAAGGGCTATCACTATCATTGGGGCCATACATTATGTCAATATATTCTAAGGACTCAATTTGTCAGACTGAAGAGTTACAAAAGAATACTTGGCAATCAAAGTGCTTTTCCTCCATTTAGAAATACTAATGTGGGTCAGGAATGTTGGCTCACATCTGTAATCCCAGCATTTTGGGAGGCTGAGGCAGGTGGATCACCTGTGGTCAGGAGTTTGAGACCAGCATGGCTAACACGGTTAAACCCTGTCTCTATTAAAAAACACAAAAATCAGCCAAGCATCGTGGCACATGCTTGTAATCCCAGCTACTCGGGAGGCTGAGGTAGGATCACTTGAACCTGGGAGGCAGATGGTGCAGTGAGCTTAGATCGTGCCACTGACCTCAAGCCTGGGTGATAAAGAGAGACTCTGTCCCCTCCAAAAAAGAAAAAAGAAAAAGAAAAAAGAAAAGAAATCCTAATGTGAGTGTCAAATAAAATAGAAGTGAGAAATCCATAGCCGTGTTGAGCAGTCCAGAGACCAAAAATAGCTCTCTCTGCTGAAGAAAGCTAAAACAAAATAAAAACAAGTTGGCTGTTTATGTATGGAATATATGGCAGACACTGTGGATTGGATAAATGAGGTCTATTCATTCACAGGTCTCTTTTCCCCTTCCTCCATTTCTAACAGAAGCTGGGAAGCCAGAGGTGGCTATATGGCTCAGTCCTGGTCAGGGAGTGATAAGGAGAAATCACTTGGTGAAGACGTCTGGAAATATTTTGTAAATGGAACAGACATGGCTAACACGTCTTTTTCAGTGCTTTTTCTTCATCCTTCCTCCTAATTTCTATCTTTGTAACTTTTTTTTATTCCTTTTAATTTTTATCTTAACCAATTATAAACGTTAAGCCCATTCCCATTTTACCTGAACCATGCCATTTGTTTCTTTCTTCTTTTGGCCAAGGTCATGAAGAACCTCATCAGACTTCTGCACAGTCACTTTAGCTGTTCCTAGCTCTTCATAGGAAGGAAATCTTTCAGAAGGTAGAGTTTCAATGCTATAAAAGATTGTTTTTAAGTTTCCTAAATTGTTGTAAATTCAGTAAACATTTCATTACCCATCTCTTTGATACAGTCTTAACTACACATTACTAAGTGGTATCCTATTAAAATTGTTCCAGGGAATTAATCAGTTATGTGACTAAACACATGAAACACAGAAAATCACAAGAGACAAAATTCATCTAACCAGAAAAGTTTAGACATAGCAAAAAACGAGCAGGAAAAGGTTATGCTTTCAAGAAGCAACATCTAGAAGCACTTCCAGATTGGTGGAGTAAGAACTTCTGAAAATCTGCTGCTCTGTAAGCATAATGAGAACCCTAGCAAAAATCATCAAAATCAAATTTTGCTAACCTCTGGAAATTAAAGACTCACAACAACCTGAGGGGCATTTATTCAGGAAAAATGGCTGACTCTAGGTAAGAACAGCGAGCTTTATTGAATTTTTTTAACTTGCCTATCCAATTCTGTGGTGGCCTTGAAAACCAACAGCCTCACAACCACTAAAGAGAGTAGGATGGCTTGGAGCTCTCCCAAAAGTCTCATTCATAGTGTGTGTCTTTATTTGATCTGATTCACAGCTAGATCAGTGAGAAACTATACCCAGGGCATTTTTCAAAATCACGAGCAATTGTTTAACATCTCAGAAGCCTGAGGTTGTGATACTAGTTGGGGCAAACAAGATTGTGGTCAATAAATCTTAAAAGTCTAGGTAATAAGATGCCCATGGTGGAGCTTTGAAAAGTTCCAACATATTCCTCGGAATTTAGAAGGCCATGCCTTCTAGTCCACATACAGGGTTATACACATGCCCAAGAGAGACCTGGGAAGATCCTAATCACTCACTTCTAGCTGACCTTGATAGTCTGTACAAGTTAAGAAGTGAAAGCTAAAATAGACTCATAATCTGCCAGGTACTGGAGGCATGTTCTAGCTCACGCACGCGTGCGCGCGCGCACACACACACACACACACACACACACACACACACAATCCATGGCAAAGAGAAGGAGACTTATCAGTTCAAGGCAATTAAGGAAATCTCTTTCCAATCATTAGCAGACTAAGCTAACAAAACAGAGATTTCAGTGGTTGCATATGACAAAGAATACAGACTTCACCGAATTAGTCCAGGAAAGTCACTAAACAAACAGCAACAATAACTAGCAACAACAATAAGCTCTGGGAGGTGAAAGAATCTAATTTCCAGAGTTGCCACACTGTATTATGTAAAATGCCGAGTTTTCAACAAAAATTTATGAGACATACAAAGAAACAGGAAAGTATAACCCAAACACAGAAAAAAGCACAGTCAAAGAAACCTCCCTTGAGGAATCCCAGATATTAGACGTACTAGGCAAAGACTATAAATCAGCTATTGCTAAAAGAAATGAGTTTAAAAGTTAAAGGAAAGTTTAAGAATAAAGTCTTGCTAAATATAGAATGATCAATAAGGAGATAGAAAATATTTTTTTAAAAGGCAAACAAATTCTGCAGTTGAAATGTAAATTCATTAGAGGGGATCAACACCATATTTGAGTTGGCAGAAGAAATCAACAAACTGGAAGACAAGTTAACTGAGAATATCCAGTTTCAGTAATGGAAAGAAAAATAGATGAAGAAAAATTAACAGTCTTAGAGACCTATGGGACACCATCAAGCACACCAACATACAACTCGTCGTCAGAAACCATAGAGTCCAGAAGGCAGTCAGATGACACACTCAAAAAGTTGAAAAAGACCATCTGCCAAAAATGCTACATGTAGTAAAACTATCCTTCAAAAGTGAAGGAGGGGACACCAGGGGTGTGTGTACAGAGAGGGATGACCATGTGGAGAGACAGTAAGAGGGAGGCCACCTGTAAGCCAGAAGAGAGGCCTCAAAGGAAACCAACCCAGCCAGCACTTTGATCTTGAACTTCCAGCTTCCACAACTATGACAAACCAAATTTCTGTTTAAACAACAAAAAGTGAAAAAGAAATTAAGACGGTACCAGATAAACAAAAACTGAAATAATTCATTGTTAACAGACCTATCCTATACGAAATGTTAGCAGGAATCCTTCAGGGTGGGATAAAAAGATATTAGACCAACTTGAATCCATATGAAGAAACAGGGTACTAGTAAAGATGAACTATATATGTAACTATAAAAGCCAGCATACGTATTTTTATTTGTATCTCCTTTCTTTTCTATCTGACTTAAAAGACAGTTGCATCAAATACTAATTACCAAGCTACACAGATGGGCTTATAACGTATAAAGATGTAATTTGTATGATAATAATAGAGGAAAGAAAAGTGGAGGGAACAGGGTTTTACTGGAGCACAGTTTTTGAATGCTACTGAAATTAAATCACTATTAATCCAAATTAGATCGTTTTAAATTAATGTGTTAATTATAATTCCTAGAGTGACCACTAAGAAAATGATTTTTAAAAAAAGCAAAGGAAATGACAAAACAATTAAAATGGTGCAACTAGAAAATGTCTAACACAAAAGAAGGCACTAAGAGAGGAACAGTGAAACTAAAAGACCTAAGGCATGTAGAAAGTAACATGGTAGACATAAATCCTACCTTATCAGTGATTACATTAAATGTAAATAGACTAAAATTGTATAATATTGCTGCATAAAATTACTCAACATATGGCTCCTTTAGTTTTTATTACTGTAGTTTTAAAGATGTTGAAGATAAATACAACTATCATGGCCCAGATTAGATTTTTTTTTAAACTTTTTATTATGTAAAATTTCAAATAAACACAAAAATAGACAAAATACTAAAAAGAACCTCATATACCCTAACTACAACAATCATTAACTCATGGCTAGCCTCATTTTATCTATACTCCCAACCTACTTGTTCCTACCCTATATTAGATTATTTTTGAAACAAATCTCAGACATCATTTAATCAGAAATGAATAATCTGCATAAATTAGAAATTAATAATCTGCATTTTGAAAAAAATTATTCATTTCATAGTAATATTATAGAAAAGGGGAAGATATATTAGCATCAGAAAATAGTAACTATATCTAAGATAAATTTAAGAAGCAATGCTATAATTGATTAAAAGTCCCAAAGAAAATTTGAAAATCTGAACAAAGCTCTTTTCAACCTAGTTTTCATTCCAATACCTGTCTGTTTTCTCAGGATTCCATCCTATTTTTGACCTAGTTAGTGAGGTGGTGTTTGATGATTCACTTTTTCTTGTCAAAGAATCATTATTATTCAAAATTTGCTCCAATAATCTTACATTTCCTGAAATAGAAGAGATACAGTATCATTTTCCAAATACTAATTCATTTCTCTTTTATATGATACCTCATATATTTGCATTCTGGCCCAAGTTAGTTTCTTATGATGATTATCTACTCAATTTATAGCCTACAGTGTATCCTACAATGTAGGCTATAAAGATACTCATCAAATAAAACTAATTATTTATACCTCATAAAAACCATACCACAAGCTGGGTGCAGTGGCTCACGCCTATAATCTCAGCACTATGGGAGGCCAAGGTGGGCGGATCACCTGAGGTCAGGAGTTCAAGACAAGCCTGACCAACATGGAGAAATCCCGTCTCTACTAAAAGTACAAACGTTAGCTGGGTGTGGTGGTGCAGGCCTGTAATCCCAGCTACTTGGGAGGCTAAGGCAGGAGAATTGCTTGAACCTGGGAGACGGAGGTTGCAGTGAGCTGAGATCGCACCACTGCACTCCAGCCTAGGCAACAAGAGCAAAACTCTGCCTCAAAACAAAAAACAAAAAACTATATCACAACATCATTAACTCATGGTTAGCCTCATTTTATCTATACTCCCAACCTACTTGTGGCTCATGCCTGCAATCCCAACACTTTGGGAAGCTGAGGCAGGAGGACTGCTTGAGGCCAAGAGTTTGAGACCAGCCTGCACAACAAAGCAAGACCCTGTCTCTATAAAAATAAATAAATAAACAAATAAGTAAAAGTCTGAATTCATAGAAAAAACCCTAAATTTATTTTCATCACCGAAAAAAAGGAATTTGAGTGAGAAGTGTCATCATCACAAAGTCCAGCAAAATAGAAGATTTTTATAAATGTAAAGAAGAGATTTATCTATTTCTTCAAAGTACCAATTAAGTGGATCTATCCCTTAGCCTTGTTTGTATGTAGTAAGACTATATAATAATTTTTGTTGAGAGATTGTCTTCTTTATTAAAGATTTTATTATCTTCTGCCTTTCTTAAAACTCTTTAAATGTGCCTAAGATAAGACTTGCATGCATTTAAATGATTCCAAGAATAAAAGCATTTAGTTTAATATTTGATTTACTTTTGTTACAAGGGGTACATTTTAAGACTCAGTAACACACTATTTTTCTTTTTTTTTTTTTTATTTCCGTAGATTTTTGGGGAACAGGTGGTATTGGGTTACATGAGTAAGTTCTTTAGTGGTGATATGGGAGATTTTGATGCACCCATCACCCAAGCAGTATACACTGAGACCAATTTGTAGCCTTTTATCCCTCATCCCCTTCCCAACCTTTTCCCACAAGTCCCCAAGTCCTTTGTATCATTCTTATGCCTTTGCATTCTTATAGCTTAGCTCCCATTTATGAGTGAAAACATAAGATGTTTGGTTAATACACTGTTACTTGCAGTCCCTTATAAAAGTTGTTGTTCTGTATTAAAAGGTTCACATATTAGCACTTTTTCCAAGTAAACATGGTAATAAATGTTAAGTTTCTCTATGTTTTATTATTAAAATCCACACCTAAAAACAATAGGAGGAAACATACTCTAAAAATGATTAGCAAAGCATTTTTAATTTTTTTATTAATTAATAACAAAACTTGGCCAGGCAGGCACAGTGGCTCACATCTGTAATCCCAGCACTTTGGGAGGCTGAGGCAGGCAGATTGCTTGAGCCCAGGAGACTGTGACCAGCCTGGGCAACATAGCAAAACCTTATCTCTATGAAAAATACAAAAATTAGCCTGGTGTAGTGGCATGCACCTGTAGTCCCAGCTACTCGGGAGGCTGAAGTTGGAAGATTAACTGAGTCTGGGGAGGTGGAGGTTACAGTGAGCCATGATCATGCCACTGTATTCCAGTCTGGATGACAGGGTGATATCTTATCTCACAAAAAATAAATAAAAATTAACAAAACTTATTCATTACAGGTTTAAGTAATAATCTGTAAGAGACAGAATAACTATAAATGTATACCTCCAATTACTTTTACAAAGAACCTAAAGAAGCTTGATTTTCCCAGAAAGTATCATTTAAAGTAAAATATTACAAATAGAGATTCCAATTTAGTTATGACTAGGCACAAAAAAATCTCATGAAAATTTCCTAATTTGGGATAGGTCTGGTCAAAGTCTCTGTTACCTCTGTGACATGACACTTCCATATTTTCTTTTTCTTCCAAAAGATTTTCCCTCTTTGATGGTTCATCATCCCTTGAAACAGGTATAGGAGCAAATCTGCGAGGTGCTGGTGTCTCCAAAGGAGATTTCTGTTTATCAAAACTCATATCTTCAATTTCTTTTAAAGGTGCTTTAACAGAAAATTTTTTTAAAAAATTAACTTGTTTTTAAGAAACTTTTAAAATAATTGCATATTACTCTTTCCTACATGTTAAAAATAAAGCCAAAATTATAAATAATAAATTATTAAGTATAGAGAAATAACTTTGTCCCCATTAAAAATCAAAAGAAATGAAGACAACATACATTTTATACTTGCATCTAGTAAATAAGAATCAATATGATAATATTCAGAACTACTGAAGCTGTGATGAAACTGGCAGAGCCAGACACTTCCTCATGGCAGTGAAAACTGATAAATCATCTGGCAATAAGTATAGGAAGAATTCAAGTTTCATATACTTTAACCTTAGATACTTTAACCTTAATCTTACTCTTGTGAAAATATTCTAAGAAAATAACATAAAAGAAAGAAAATGTGCTTTAAATATGATGTTTATTACAGTATTATTTATGAAGATGAAAACCTAAAAACTGCCTGAGTAGCCAAAACAAGATAATGATCAAGTAGACTGTGAAACAGTCATTCAACAGATCACCTTTAGTCATTACAAATTAAAATTATGAAGACAACTAACTATATAAAACATGGAAAATCCTTTTATGTGCTAGTAAAAAAGCTGTATAAAATACTACAACAATGTAAACATGATATATGCCCAAGAAAAAGCATAGAATTAAAACTTTAACTTACTGAACTTTTAATTTACTCATTTTTTCTTTTGTTACTGTTACTTTTATATACAAAGAAATAAATTCAGTTTACAATCAATAAAATAGATACCTTTTTCATAAAAACTCATGCTTAAGAAAAACAAAATTATAAGCAAGAAATTCCCTGGAGTTGAGTTCTGAAAAAAGTGTCCACTGCTATAACACAGCTGGGTCATAATGAAACCTGAGTTCTGGCGCTAGCTCTGACATCCTCCCTCGCAAGTCAGGCAATCTTGAGCAGGCAAGTCATACCATTCTGTGCTTCACTGTCCTCTGTTCATAACTTAAAAATGGACTCATTACGTCACAACAGTTCTTTGTTGTTGTTGTTTGCTTTTTTTTTTGTTTTTAAGATAGGGTCTCACTCTGTCACCCAGGTTGGAGTGCAGTTGCATGATCACAGCTCACTGAAGCCTCAACCTCCAGGGCTCAGGCAATCTTCCCACCACAGCCTCCCAAGTAGCTGGGACTACAGGCATGTGCCACCACACCTGGCTAATATTTTTATTTTTATGTTTAGAGACAGGGTCTCACTAAATTGCCCTTGAACTCCTGGGCTCAAGTGATCCTTTTACCTTGGCCTCTCAAAGTGCTGGCCACAAAAGTTTTACAAGGACCACTCATTTGTTGCAAAATGTAAAGCACCTTATAAGCATGGACAATCTTTAATGACTGTAATACAACAATGTTCTAACAGATCAAGTGTTGAAAATATTGTACTATATAGATCTGTATATCACTAAAAGGATAGTCCCTTGATTTTCTTTAGTTCGTTATTCAAATAACAATAACTTAGAAACGCATGTATTCATTTATTTTAAATACTAAAGTTTTAACAAAGAAGCTATGTATTGCTTTGTTATTACAGAGTTTTAAAATTCAATCAAGATAAGCAGACTTGCGTTACTAACTCTGAAAATATTTAGAAATGGTTTAAAAATGTACTCTGACAGAATCAAGAAAAATAGTAAATATGTAGTTTGTCAGAGAGCAGAATTGATCTATTTACAAGCATTTTAATAGTAAATAATATTTTTCTAAATTTATAAGCACTTCTGACAATTTATGAAGGTTATTAATTAAAACCACAGATAAGAACATAATTCATAATTTTTTAAAATTTCAAAATAACCTAAAAATTACTTGACCTAGAAACAGAACTAGTTTTGCCTGGGTGCGGTGGCTCATGCCTGTAATCCAACACTTTGGGAAGCCAAGGCAAGTGCATCACCTGAGGTCAGGAGTTCAACACCAGTCTCTGGCCAACATGGTGAAACTCCGTCTCTATGAAAATACAAAAATTAGCTGGGCATGATGGTGGGAGCCTGTAATCCTAGCTACTCAGGAGCCTGAGTCAGGAGAATCACTTGAACCTGGGAGGCAGAGGTTGCTGTGAGCCAAGTTCATGCCATTGCATTCCAGCCTGGATGACAAAGAGAGACTCCATCTCACCAAAACAAAAAACAAAAACAAAAAACAAAACAAAAAAAAAAAAACTAGCTTTAGCTAAGACAAGGTAGCCTGAGAAAGAAAATTTTAAAAAATAAGTTTTTTTAAAAAAAACCTAGATTTATTTTTAAAAATCTTATGAGTAAATTTTATAAAACAAAGACTCCTACTGATTAGGAAATACGTTCTCAGCTTATGTAACACAAAGAGAATTCATAGCTGACATTTTTTATTCATAGAGAACTACATATTTTTACCTTGTCTGGAAGCAAATGTGTTATATGAAGATGGATTACAGCTACCAAGATTAGGGTGTTCTGGTTTTACAAAATACTTTTCCACTGCTCTGGAGGAGGGCACACTAACAGGCTGAAAACTACTAGTCTTGAGTGCAGCACTAATAAAATGAGTCTAGAAGAAATAAGATTATTTTACTGTTTTCAAATATCATTTGAAAGAGATAATAAAATACATTAAAATATTAAAGGGGTTAAACATAATTTACTGTACTTAAACAATGAAAAAAATACATATTACATTGCAAATATCCACTGTAGAAGCAGCAACGATGCCATTGGAAAGATGTAGAATCGCACTAAGGCTGACTCTGCTGTGTGACCTTAATCATTTTCCTTAACCATTCTAAACCTCAGTGCTTTCCTTTCTACCTCAGATATGGCTCAGGGGCCATTGCTGCCAGCTAAGAAAAGACCAGGAAAGAGAGGCCCTCACCCTAAACCTCTACTTACATCAGAGAATTCAAAACCAAAACATCCCATCTTTTACATCCTAAATGGTAAGATTTTGTTTGAAGCAAAGGTTTGAAAATCATTGACAGTAAGTTCTCAAATAAATATCCATGCTTAGCAGCAACAGTAACATATACATTTGCACATAAATGGAAAATAGAGCGGCAACATAGTTTTCAGCACTATTTATTAAAATATCTGAAATGAGGTCAGGCGCAGGGGTTCATGCCTGTAATCCTAGCACGTTGGGAGGCCAAGGGGAGCAGATTGCCTGAGGTGAGGAGTTCGAGATCAGCCCATCCAACACGGCGAAACCCTGTCTATACTAAAAATACAAAAATCAGCTGAGCATGGTGGCAGGCGCCTGTAATCCGCCTACTCAGGAGGCTGAGGCAAGAGAATCACTTGAACCGGGAGGCAGAGGTTGCAGTGAGCCAAGATGGTGCCACTGCACTCCAGCCTGGATGACAGAGTGGGACTCTGTCTCTAAAATAAAATAAAATAAAATAAAAATAAAGTAAAATATCTAAAATGAGCAAGTATCTTAACTAATAAAACTGGTTTTAGGCTGGGCATGGCGGCTCACACCTGTAATCACAGCACTTTGGGAAGCTGAGGCAGGCAGATCACCTGAGGGCAGGAGTTCGAGACCTGCCTGGCCAACATGGTAAAACCCCATCTCTACTAAAAATACAAAAAATTAGCTGAGCGTGGTGGCAGGCACCTGTAATCCCAGCTACTTGGAAGGCAGAGGCAGGAGAATCACCTGAACCTGAGATGTGGAGGTTGCAGTAAGCCAAGATCACATCATCTTGTCACCTACTCCAGCCTGGGTGACAAGAGCAAAACTCCATTTCAAAAATATAAAGAAATAAATTTCACATTAATCAGAAAAAAAGTAAATTAAAACCAACACATTTACAAGGCTGATCATTCACTCACTCCAAAAAAAATAAAAAATAAAAGTTTACTGAGTGCTAAGTAGTGTTCTAGGACTTAGAAATTCCAAAATAGGTGGGGTACAGTGGCCCACGTCTGTAATTCTAGCACTTTGGGAGGCCAAGGTGGATGGATCACTTGAGGCCGAGTTCAAGACTGGTCTCACCAACATGGTGAAAACTTGTCTCTACTGAAAATATAAAAATTAGCTGGGCATGGTGGTGCAAGCCTATAATCCCAGCTACTTGGTAAGTTGAGGCATGAAAATTACTTGAACCTGGGAGGTGGAGGTTGCAGTGAGCCGAAATCACACCACTGCACTCCAGCCTGCGCGACACAGAGAGACTCTATCTAAAAAAAAAAAAAAAAAAAAAAAAAAAAAGTCCAAAATAAATAAGAAAGTATGCTATCAGCTTCTTGTGAGAATAACACTTTTTATAATAGCCCCAGTGCCTCATTCTCAAATGGCATTAAAAATGTTCCTTCTTTTAATTAATTAAATGCAAAAGCAAATTATGTATACCAGGTAGTTCTTATCCAAGGGTGTGCATCAGAATCATTATGAGGCTTTCAATGATTGCCAGGCACTACCTCAGAAATGCTGGTTCAAAATCTCTGAAAGGCCTCAGCAAGTGTGTGTATGTATAATTTTTTTTTTGAAGATAGAGTCTTACTCTGTCATCCAGGATGAAGCACAATTGCATTATCATAGTTGACTGTAACTGCAAATTCCTGGACTAAAGGTCTCCTCCAGTCTCCCTGGGACTATAGGCACATGCCACCAGGCCAGGTTTTTTTTTAGAGATGAGGTCTTACTACATTGATCAGGCTGGTCTTGAACTCTTGGCCTCAATCTATCGTCTTAGCTTGGCCTACCAAGATGCCAAACACGAAAAGCATGAATATTTTTATAAAGTTTTGCAAGTAATTCTAGCGCACATTCCCAGACTAAAAACTGCTGATATAAACACATAGCTGCAATAAGATATATGCATTTAAAAATGTGGCCAGGCATGGCAGCTCATGCATGTAACCCTAGCACTTTGGGAGGCCAAGGAAGGCAGATCACTTGAGGTCACAAGTTCGAGACCAGCCTGTCCAACATGCTAAAACCCCGTTTCTACTAAAAATACAAAAATTAGCTGGGCATGGCGGTGTGTGCCTGTAATCTCAGCTACATGGGAGGCTGAGGCAGGAGAATCTCTTGAGAGGTGAAGGTTATAGTGAGTGGAGATTGCAACACTGTACTTCAGCCTGAGCAACCATAGCAAGATTCCATTTCAAAAAATAAATTAATAAAAATAAAAATGATATGAACAAAAATAGTTTAAAAGGAGGAAAAGCCAAATAGAGGGAGAGGTCTCACAGAACTAGTGACATTTGAGATATAACATGCAGAGTTATCCACATTAGAGGAGAACAAAGACAAGCAAATCATGATTTAAGAATTAAAACTGTTACAATCTAATGAGCTACTGCAATTATCAATGAATATTAGCTGAGAGATCCAAGTGATAAAAGATTAAGGAATCTGTACTGGCTTTATTATGGATACCTGAATATCTATTTGTTGTTGTTGTAATTTTTCAAGATTTCTTATGTGCTGCTCCATGAACACGTTCATTTGCTTTTCATGATCATGACAGTGTAGTTTCTCTTGTTTACTCTGAATGCTTGTTTGCTGCTCTGTAACACGTTGTAGGTGTTTATCAGTCTCCTGTAACTTACTAAGTAATTCTGTAACAGAATTGACTTTTGCTTCCAAATCACTCTGTACCTAAAATAAAAATATTTTTTAAATTCACATTATAGGATACCAAAAACATGTCTAATTACTAGAAATGTTATTTAAATCAGAGAAGTGATCAAATTTGAGCCTTTACCCACTAAATGTCTAATGATTTAATGCCTTTATTTTTAGAGTCACAGAAATGAAAGGCAGAAGACAACTATCCTTAGGTAAATGTTTCCTCTCAAAAACAAAAATTATACCAAATCTGCCACACAGAATTTTATGGTACCTAAAAGATACTTAAGTGGAAATTAAAAAGAAGAAAACTACTGTAAAGCAAAGTAGTTTTTGATACTTTACTAATGCAAGGCTGAGTTAGGTCAGCAGCCTTGAGTTCTAGTTTTGGCTCTGCCACTTTCTCGTTCCAAACTCACGTACCTACTCTGACCTGTCTCTCTGTTTCCCCATTTAGAAAGTGACAGCCAAGGCATAGATTATCTCTAAGGTTCCTCTAGCTCACAAATAAGAATAACTAATTATCCAGGTTGCCCAGGACCAAAATGTTTCCCAGGAGGTAGGACTCTAAGTGGTAAAACTGGGAAAGTTCTGAATTTGCTAGTGCCATCACAGTATTAGAAGGTAATTTTCACAGTTCCTGGAAGTAGTAGACAATCACAAATGGGAAAATTCTTTCAAATTGAGAGCAATTACAATGTTTCTAGTCTATAATTGGACACAACCATTTATAGAATCAGTGCTTAATAAGTACTTCTATATTCACAAAGTAGTTATGAATATCTGGGAAGAAAAATATACCTTTATCAATGGAGCTGCGGTTGCAATGGCAGCAGCAGTTGCTGCAGCCACGGTTGTAGCTGAATCAATTCCACTGGGCGAAATTCTAGTTTCCTGAGTAACAGCATCCTTCTCTATGCCTGCATCTTCTAATAGATGTACCTTTACTTCCTTAAAAACAGGCATGCTTTGAGCTCTAGAAGTAAAAAAGCAATAAAAATGTATTCAGTAAACTACACATTGAATCTTTTCAAGAAATAGTTAGAAATGGTAATCTGCTAAAGGTCATTTTGATTTTTTAAATTAAATCACCTATTAAACAAGGTCATTTGGTTAATAATATTTACTAAGGTCCAGGTCGCTAAGGGCTAAAGAAATAAGATAATTCCTTGAAGATAGCAATATTATTTTGGAAAATAAAAATTACACACATGAAAAAGGTATGGAACAATTTAAAAGACATATTATCAAGAAGTACAAATTTAAAACACTCAGTGGCTCACCCCTGTAATCCCAGCACTTTGGGATGCCAAGGCAGGTGGATCACGAGGTTAGGAGATCGAGACCATCTTGGCCAACATGGTGAAACCTCCTCTCTACTAAAAATACAAAAATTAGCAGAGCATGGTGGTATGCGCCTGTAGTCCCAGCTACTTAGGAGGCTGAGGTGGGAGAATCACTTGAACCTGGGAGGCAGAGGTTTCAGTGAGCCGAATCACACCACTGCACTCTAGCCTGGGCGACAGAGCAAGACTCCATCTCAAAAAAACAAACAAACAAACAACAACAACAAAGAACACTCAGAAAAAGCTCTAAGAATTCAAGTACTAAGCTTTACTCCTAAAGGCAGACAACTCAAGAAACACTGTTGTTTCCTTTCTTCTTTTATTATTTTGTTAAAGATTAGTCAAGTATAGTAGTGACAAGGGGAGAAAGAGCAGAGTAAGTTTGGTCTGGGCCAGGTGGGGATCAGCACTTTGGGAGGCCAAGACAGGTGGACTGCTGGAGCTCAGGAGTTTGAGACTACCTTGGGCAACATGGTAAAACCCCCTCTCTACTAAAATACAAAAAAATTCACTGGGCATGGTGGTGCATGCCTGTAATCCCAGCTACTTGGGAGGCTGAGGCAGGAGAATCACTTAAACCTGGGCAGCGGAGGTTGCAGTGAGCCTAGATTGCACCACTGCACTCCAGCCTGGGTGACACAGCAAGACTCCATCTCCAACAGAGTTATAAAAAAAAAAAAGTCTGGTCTGTAACTGACTGTGAGCAATCAATTGAGATAACTTATTACCTCAGACAAGCTGCTGTTGTTTTTAAATTCTTGATAATTTTATTCTCCAAATACTTGATTTAAGAATTATAACATTATTGGCCAGGTGCAGTGGCTCACACCTGTTATCCCAGCACTTTGGGAGGCCAAAGTGGGCGGACAGCTTAAGGCCAGGAGTTCGAGATCAGCTTGGGCAACATGACAAAATCCTGACTCTACAAGTAATAAAATTATCCAGGCATGGTGGCACACACTTGTAGTCCCAGTTACTCAGGAGACCGAGACAGGAGGATCTCATGAGCCTGAGGAGGTAGAGACTACAGTGAGTCGTGAATGCACCACTGCACTCCAGCCTGTGAGACAGAGTGAGACACAATCTCAAAAAAAAAAAAAAAAAAAAAATTATAGCACTATTGATGTACACTTTGTGGCTTTTTTTTCCTCCTGCTTTACTGAGGTATAATTGAAAATAATTGTATATATTTACAATGTACAATGTGATATTTTAATATATGTAGACATTGTAAAATGATTACAGTTAAGCTATTAGCATACCATCCCCTCATCTTTTTATGTGATGAGAACATTTAAGATCTACTGTCTTAGCAATTTACAAGCATAGAATTCATTATTAACCATAGTTACATGCTGTACAATAAATCCCTAGATTTATTCATCCTGTCTAAGAGAAATTGTACCTTTTGACCTGTATCTCCCACTTCCTACCCACCCTAGCCCCTGGCAACCACGAGTCTACTTTCTGCTTCTATAAGTCTGACTTTTTCAGATTCCACATGTAAATGAGAATAAATGATATTCATCTTTCTGTGCCTGGCTAACTTCACTTAGCATAATGTCGAAGAGGGATTGTTAAAACTGCTGAAAAACAATTTCTTAATTCTAGCTCATTTAGATTTACTTAATAAATGTCACTCAAGCAGGCCGGGCACAGTGGCTCACGCCTATAATCCCAGCACTTTGGGAGGCCAAGGCAGGAGGATTGCCTGAGGTCAGGAGTTTGAGACTAGCCTGGCCAACATGGTGAACACTGTGTCTGCTAAAAATACAAAAAATTAGGCAGATGTGGTGGTGGGTGCTTGTAATCTCAGCTACTTGGGAGGCTGAGGCAGGAGAATTGCTTGAACCCAGGAGGCAGAGGTTGCAGTGAGCCAAGATTGCACCACTGCACTCCAGCCTGGGCAACAAGAGCAAAACTCAGTCTAAATAAATAAATAAATAACACTCCATTTATTAAAATGTTCACAAAATACACCATTAAGAAGCCTGGGTCAAGTGTGGTGGCTCACACCTGTAATTCCAGCCTTTTGGGAGGCCAAGGCGGGCTGATCACCTGAGGTCAGAAGTTCGATACCAGCCTGGCCAACATGGTAAAACCCTGTCTCTACAAAAAGTACAAAAATTAGCCAGGCATGGTGGCATGCATCTGTAATCCCAGCTATATGGGAAGCTGAAGCAGAAGAATCACTTGAACCTGGGAGGTAGAGGTTGCAGCGAGTCAAGATTATGCCACTGCACTCCAGCCTGGGCAATAGAGTGAGACACTGTCTCAAAAAAAAAAGAAGGCTGAATTTGCCAGATGCTACATGACTCTAATCCTAGCACTGTGGGAGGCCAAGGCAGGAGTACTGCTTGATTGCTTGAGCCCAGGAGTTCAAGGCCAGCCTGGGCAACATGGTAAACCCTGTCACTACAAAAAAAAAAAATTAAAAATTAAAAAAAAGACCCTGAAATAAAAACAAGTCCAGCAAATAGACACATATTTTCAATAAGGCATTTAATTAAATACTAAAATTAAAAAAGAAGGCTAGCTAATTTGTTCTAGATTTAAAAAAATTAAAAATTAAAAAAAAGACCCTGAAATAAAAACAAGTCCAGCAAATAGACACATATTTTCAATAAGGCATTTAATTAAATACTAAAATTAAAAAAGAAGGCTAGCTAATTTGTTCTAGATTTGGTCTCAAAGAAAACAATGAAAGGAACCACTGACAAAATGGAAGAGTCCCTAAGAAAGTCTAAGTAAAATCGGCAGGAATATGTTCCATCTCCAGCTGCTGGACTCCCCCCTTGATTTTTAAAGGTATTACAGAACTCTTAAACTCACTTCTCTTTGATATTTCCCCATTTCTACTAAGAGTATTTTTCTCTTAGTCTCAAAATGTTGAAGTCATCTTCACTTCTCTACTTGCTTACCTACCCAATTAAGTAATAAGGTTTGGTCAATTATTTCATCACAATCGCATTAAGAGTGTCATAGAATTATAGACAGAGCTGGGGGAACTTTATAGGTCTTCCATCATAATTTCCTAATTTTATAAATGAAGAAATTGTAGTCTACATAGGTCACAGGATATTCAAATTTCCTAATTTTACAGATGAAGAAATTGCAGTCCAGAGAGGTTACAGAATTTACTTGATCATTATCACAGAACTATCTAATGGTAGAGTTAGGATCCAATTCCCAGAGGTCTTCCCATGACACCAGGGCTTTTGCTCTCAGATTAGCACTTTGCCCTCCTCACTTCTCTCTCTCAACTGAAAAGTTTCATCACCTATACTAACTAGTCCATTCTTCCAGTTTCTACAAGCTTCCTACACATAAGTCACCATTAAAAAATCAAAAATTATTCCTTATAAAGAACTGAATTGGCTAATTTCCTGTTTGGCTTCCCACACACAAGTTTCTCCTCCCTGACTCCACATTCCATGCCATGCACACAGTGACTCCATGCTTTTCCTCACTGTGCTCGCTCACCCTTCTTCCATCCAACTTACTACATCCTTCTCCTCCTTTAAGGGGCAATGCAAGTGTTACCTTCTTCAGGAAGCCTGTTCTTACAATACCTCCTCTTGATATCTCCCTTTGTTAACTTTTTTTTAAATTTACTATCAATGGAGACTTGCTACTCAACCATCCCAGGGTTTAAATATCTGTACGGGACAATTTAATAATAATGAAATTAATCATTAATTCCTCCATATACATATATATTATCTCCCCAATTAAGCTGTAAGCAATCTGGGGTAGGAAATGGTAGAGGGACTTCTTTCATATCAAACAGGAACTAACAAAGGGTTAGGTATGTAGTAAGTACTCAATATATATCTTTAACCAACTGAGGGGTAGACATAATTCAGGAATTCCTTATCTTTAAGCTTTCTGCCTCAAGTCTAAAAGTGACTTATCTTTGCTTAACAAGAGAAATATTATAAGGCTAGACATAAATTTCTTTATAGGCTTTTAAATTTTATTTTTTCCAATTATTAAATTAATAAATGCTCAATGTGGCAAATGTAAAGAACTATGAAATATAAACATTGAAAAATGCATATAACCCTCCCATTAAGAAGCAATTATTTCATTCGTCTTCTCTTTTAGACAATTTTTCTTTATTCTTAAATCCACGGCCTATCCCAGTACTATGCTGCAAATATTCCCACCGAGGCCACTAATAACCCTTCTTGCTCAACTTAGAGTCCAGTTTTCAGTTCTTACCTTCCATTACCTCAGAGCAGCATATCACACTTGGAACCTAATCCCCCTTGGCTTTGTTACCACCATACCCGCTACATCTCTACATCTCTGGGTAAACTTTCTGAGCAGCATTTAGAAGCTAGCTTGCATTCTCCATATACTCCTTAAATGTTTGATTTTCTCAGAGTCTATCCAGCTCTAGCCATCTTTCTTTTCACTGCCATAATCTCACTGAATCACTTCAACTATTCCCAAAGCTTAGATTTAGACTGCCATTTACATAATGATGACTTTGGCATCTTAATTTCTAGCTTGGATCCCTTTTGTGAATTTGACTTTTTGATTTTTTTTTTTTTTTGACAGGATCTCACTGTCGCCCAGGCTGGAGTGCAGTAGCACAACTATGGCTCACGGCGGCCTCAACCTC